GATTCCTACAGTAAACAGGAAGCAAAGGGAGTCCAAGTCATGTTTTCAATGACTATCATGGTAACACCCAACACAGTCCCCAGCTACATAGTGAGACTAGACTCTAAAAACAAAATGGGAACATAACCTTTTCCAGAAAGGACAATCAGATTCATATTTAAATTGGGGAATCAAGACAAAAACTCAGAGACTACAGATGCATTAACTCCCCATCCTCTAATACTCAAGTCCACAGTCAGTCAATCTTCTCAATGAGAAGATCTTAGTCAACCTTCCCTATTCTAAGAAAATACTCCCTAGTGTATGGAGTCAAGCATCCCCACCTGCCATAACATTTATTGTTTTGAGCAATTGGGAGGTTTTACTGGAGGCTGCATTAGTCAGGGGTTAAACCTACAACCACAGGAACCAAAGCACAGATCCTTTATCCTCTGCGCCAACCAACCAGTAAAACACAACCATCATTGTGGTTAAATCTCATTAATATCTGCAGATGATGTATAAAAAAAATAATTTTTTTTTAATTCTCTATTTCAAGCATATTAAGACTCTGGTTTTCAGATTTAACCAGCATTGAAATAGTCATCACCTTATGTAATGTAGTGATGCTATGAGATGAGCCGAGGAGTGTGTCGAGCGTGATTCATTTAGAGGAGGGGCCAAAATCGATGACCTCCAAGGCCTCGCTACCGTAATACCACGTGACCGCTAGGAAGTGGTTCAAGAAGTGCAAGAATTCTGACAGGCATTTAAACAGCCTCAGTATTCAGTCAAGATGGAGTTTGTAGGAGCTGCTGTCAACTTGATAGAGTTTGGATAGATTTTAAGAATAGATTGGTTGTTTTTCCAACCAATCTAGTTGTTTAAAATATTTCGGTTAGAATAAACAATGTAGTGATCGAAATCTGAGCAAGCCACCCGACACAGTTGTAACGTTAGTGTTAAGTAGTATTTTCTCCATTGTACAGTTAATCACATAAGTGGCGTCATCTGTAGGACACAGGCTGCCTCTCCTCTGGTTGATGATTCAAAACCCACCTTGGACTTTTGAGAGTTGCTATTATACTTAATTATTTTGGCTAATGAGACTAATTTGCATTGGTTTGCCCTAGTAAAAATATAGATTGGTTAAAAACGCTGCAAAATTAGGTCGGTTTAGCCAAAAGATTGGTTGAACACAACTTCCAACCCGACTGAAACCAAAAAATGTGGAAAAAAATATTATGTTTGATTAAAAATGACTAAAACCTTTCCTTTTGCTCATTATTGCCCAATTTGTACAAACACTTTCACTGTCTGCTTGACTTTATTTCACTAAAATGGCAGAAAAACTGTGCACCTTAAACAATTGTTCGAATAAATTTTACACTTACTTACCAACCATAAACAATTTCAAATGAACTTAAAAGGGGGGAAAAAAGAAAAACAATTGCAAAAAAAAAAAAATCAGATTTTATTACTAACTGTAGTTCTGCACTCCACCAGTAGGTGGAGCCTTATGAACTGTGGGAATTGATGATTTATTTGGCCAAACGGATCAATGCCTCATGAGGCTTCATCTCACCATCATTAGAATAATTTCTGCTACCTCAGATATTCCAGCCAAATTATCTAATCTCATATGCCGCAGTGAACGCATACAGAGGCTGCCAGCTTTTCTTTTTTTATTTGCTTTTTTTAATGTTAAACTGTGACCTTTAAACTAATTTAGCCAAGCATCAGATCAGATTATATTAGATCTTTGGGCTTTCTATTAATAATATCTACAGTTAATTCTCAGGAAGCACAGTCAAAATACATGAATATGTTGTTCTAGACGTGATCTCCATTGGTATTTGAAATTATTAAAACATGGAAGTTGGTGTAATTGACCATAAATGTTAGTTTTTGTTAATTAAGAGTCAAGATAAGTGATTTTTTTCTATAGCTTTGTATAAAGAAAGACCTCTGGGTATAACTACAAGGGAAAAAACTAATATTTGTATAAAACAATACAAGCCAGTAACTTTTTTTTTTTTTTTTGTTTTTTTTTTTTATTATATACTAAACTCATCAGACTATACATATTGTAGTATTTGGTTTCAGACAAGCTGGGGGGGGGGGACTTTTTCAGTTAAATTGGGGCTCAGTCCCCAATGTTCCCAGGTCCTGGAAACGCCCCTGGTGGTTGGAGATTAATATTAGTCAAATACGTAACTGATCCGAGTACAGTGAAGATATAGTAGTTTAAGAAGCAGTTTTAAAAACAAAACAAAAAACAACAAAAGATCCTTTATTTCAAACAGCCTTTTTAATCCGTTAGTGGATTTGGGGGAGAATAACTCACCTGAGAGGCGGTGTTCCTGCAGAGAAACAGCGCTCTGCCGTCCGCCAAGCTCCCCAAGAAGCCGCCGCCGTGCTTCTCCGCGAAAATTCCCGTAAAGTGACCTGAACGAACCGCCTCCCCGCTGTTACCAAAGCCATTGGAAGATGGTAGAAAGTGAGGCGTTAAATAACGGAGCCGCTGGGATGTGAGGCGAAAGGCTCGCAGTGTGCTCTCTGGTGACCGACCACCGAACGAGTCCTCGAAGTTTGCTGTGGACAGAGGCTAGGCTAGCGGCGGGGCTAGCTGGTTTAAGTCGCGGAAAGTCACTCTGTCACTGTCGTCTTCATTGCGTAACGTCTAACATATGGCCACCGCGCGCTGTATCAACCTCCAGATCAATTAGCTGATTAACCTGACGGCCAATGGTGCCTGGGTTAGCCGTTTAAAGCTCCAAGGAAGCAGACACTCTCTACTGTAATCACACGGATGCCGTCAAGCTACCGCAGCTAAATGTTTCACTACTTCCCCAACGTAAAAGCTGCATAAAGTCTGAATTGGGCGTCACTATCGCTGCCATATTGCGTGTGGCACTATTTTTTCTCCTCACAGCTTGTCTTTAATATGACGGAGTATTAGGACCAGGCTAGATATTTTTATTTTATTTTATTTAATAAATAATAAAGCATTACGAGAATAAAGTCTCGTAATGGAACGACTTTATTCTCAAAATGTTACTTAATTCTCATAATTTTACGATTCATATTTTACATTATTCTCGTAATTTTACGACATCATTCTTGTATGACTATTCTCGTTGCGACTACATTCTCATCATTTTATGACTTTATTCTCGCTTAAAAAATTATTCTAGCTTGTCGTAAGATTGAGATTGAAAGCTACTCGATTTCATTGATCCCAAAAGTATCCGATACGTGAAGAAAAATAAAGAAAAAAATGTATTTTGTTTGGGAAGTTAGGAATATCCGACTGTCCTAAAACATGATTGATCAGTATCTGACTGAATGTAACACAAAGATAAATACAAATCCAACGTTCTTATTGATTGTTTTACTTACAATTCTATCAGCAGAACTTCCTAATTTTTTAATTCAAAATATCAATAACAATAAAATATATTGCATAAATCTGTATCTTTTCGACAAAAACACGTTTACAAGCATAGTTACGCGTGGTTACGAAGAGCTTGCCACTCACAATATGGCGGACGCACTTACTCATGGCTCTCAGAGAATCTAGACTTTTCCGTGTATTTGCATAAAACTACCAACCGAAAATGGAAATACATATCTTAAGTAGGTGAAAAACAGCAAAATACAGCGGCTTTGTTAAATAAATAAAGAAATACAACAAATGTTAAGATGTTTATTCTTTTTAATCAAAAAAACATGCCGTTTAAATGGCGGAATTCCTTTTAATTTTGTAAGCAAGATCGACCCGCTTCCTGCTTCCTTTGTTAACTTTATTCTGCCAACAGAAGACCCTCCATACTCATTCTCTTCTGTGCACATATTTTGCAATCTGGGGTTAATGTTTCTTTTTAAATCAATGTAAGCATCCTGCCAGGTTATTTAAAGTATTAAATGCTGGAAAGCATCCTCAAGGACAACTACACCAATGAAAAGGGGGCGGGGCACAAAAACAGACGTCAAATCTTATTGTAACCTTGAACTTTTGAACTGTTTGAAATCACAAAGCAGCTTGTTATGCAGCTTTTCAACTCTATATATCATTTGTACTTTATTTATTAGACCATAACAATTTTCACTGCTGAGCCAAATTGTCTGTTTGAGGATTTGTTTAATTATTGAACTAAAACTCAACATCTGAAAAAGTGTGGCACGTATTTGTATTTAGCTGCACTGTGTCAACACTTTGCATAACCACACATGAAGCAATATAGCCTAAAAATACTTTAACATTTTGTTCATTTATCTTTTTTTTTTTTTTTTAGCAGGTTGTGTAAATCAGAGACTGAAAAAGTGCGTCTGTTGTACATCTGTAACACAGATTCTCTAACAGATTTTGTTATGGATTTTATCCACTCAGTATAAAACTGCATTCATTTTAACCCTTTGCATGAGGTTTTGCAAGGGCAAAACTTTGCATTTCATATAAACTCTCTGCATATTGCCTGATTTAACCCACCTAAGCTTTAGATTTCTGCAGCTCCTCCAGTGTTATTATTTTCGGTAATTCCAGTTATATGAGCATCTTAGTATAGGTTTGATAGCGGTTTTAATCATGGTAAATAGATTTTTAATCTAACCCTGTTTTGAAATGTATGTAATCTCTGACCTGTTTATTTTGTCTTTTGCTTGAAAAAAAAATGTCTGAGGCCTTCATAAAACAGCAGATTTAGACTGAGATCGGACTGCAAGCACATTTGTTGCCGCTTTGTTTTGTCATTTCACGCTGCAACCACGTTTTCCAAATATTGATTGAGCTTCGCCACCTGAACCTCTGAGCAGTTCAACCTTCCCATCTTTCAAAGACTCCAAAAATATCTTGTTTACAACATGACAGAGCTGAAAGGGAAAACTTTACAGTTATCAGTAATTTATGTTGTATATCTTAGATCTGTTTTTCTGCACTATCATACCTTAATCAGGTTAAAGTCCACCAAATATCAGTACATTTTAACCAATAAGTCAATCAGATTAATCAGTAATCCTATGGACTGTAATAATAGAGGAATTTATGACTGAGGCTAGAACATAAAGGCTAAGCCTTTCTTTCACTCCACGCTCACAGTTGATCACTGCAGCCTCAGGTAAGCGGAGAATCTTTACAGAGAACAAAAAGTGCTACAACGATTATCGAGCTGATTAATAAGTGATAGGGTAGGTTTGTCTGGCATAAATATAAGAGAGAAAACAATAATTGAAAGTTGGTGTATTTGTCTTACAGGATGTTTAAGTTTGTGTTGCTGTTCCTGACACTGTCAGGTAAGATCTACACTGTATGTTTTATCTTTCTGGGTTGCTCACTTTATAGATGATACAACCTTACTTTAATATAGTGGGTCATAAATGGTTTAAAACAAATGTGGTGTCTTTTCGGTTACGAGGCAATTAATTTTTCGAATTACGGATTCCTTTTTAGTTATAAATAACAAATCCTTGTATTTTGGTATATTGCCATGGTAACATGATTGCTGACTGGTAAAAATCAAAGATGTTTGTAGATTCATTACAGGATTATATGATGACTCATGTGCTAATTACTTATAGAACATCTTATTATTGAATGGAAATCCATCTTTTATTGTGCCAGCAGCATTTAAGAGAATAAAATTTAGGCAAATTCAACTTTAATTTGACTGTTTATTAGTGAGTGGAAACTAATTTGAATTCCAAATAATTATTTCTCTTAACTCAATAAAAATGTCATTAGAAAAACTGAAACATTTTGAATTTCTTTTTAGTTTAACTGTTTTGTAAAGAGCATGTAGAAACTTTAATTTAGAGATTTGTAGTTTCCTGTTTCCTAGGGGTATGTATTTGAGGTGATACAGAGCTAAATCTTTTCTTAAAACTGATAAAATAAACATGACCCTCAAGGAGGAAGATTTGTGTTCATCTTTACATGTCAGTAAATAGCTAAAGGATATTATTACCAGCTTACATTTTAATTTAAAGTAGGAAAAAAACTGAAATCTTAAAGGAGGAATTAACTTAATGACCCAACCCTGTAAAATGTTATATGGAAGAAGACTACATGCTATTCTATTGGCTGGAATAGCTGCTGAGTGATGACTGGACTCCAATCTGAAAGAGCACAAAATAAACAAACAAAAAAATAAATCCTCTATACTGCCAGGGTTGCCAATAAATGTGATATATATTGATCCAAATGTTCATGCCTACAACCTACATAGGTCTCCAAGCTCTTCCGATCCCAGACCCTAGACGGCAGAACGCTCCAACCTACCATCTCCCAAATGGCTTTAGGCGGGGCGTCCAGCACCCTGATGCCCGTGAACCTGTTCCTGATGGATTCAGACAAGGAACAGAACCCTCAAGGAAATTCCTTGTTGACCTGAACACTGGACTTGTCAAGGAGCACATCAGTGAGATGGACAGGAGAGTGGGTGAGTGCAGACACAACACTGGACCTTTTGCAAACTATGTTGTGAATTGTTGATATTTAAGTTGGACTGAAATTGACTCAAACTGCAGGTGTAAATGATTCCATTCTATTTGTTTGAGCATGAGGGCTGCAAACCTTTTCATCCCCCATTTCTTCTGTCTTTCAGTCTCTGATGTTCCAGCCCAAAGAAAAGGAGCTGGTTGGGTACGGATGGAGAACCCTTCTGCTGTTCATCTTCTGGTACCTTTCAGAGGGGAAAAAGAACCTAGAAGATCAATCCCAGCTTTGTTCAGACAGGGAACCGAGCCAAAGATGTCAATACCAGTTGCTTTCAGACAGGGAACCGAGCCAAAGATGTCAATACCAGTTGCTTTCAGACAGGGAACCGAGCCAAAGATGTCAATACCAGTTGCTTTCAGACAGGGAACCGAGCCAAAGATGTCAATACCAGTTGCTTTCAAACAGGAAATCAAATCCAGAAGGTCAATCCCAGCTGGTTTCAGAGAGGGAACGGAGGAAAAGATGTCAATACCAGTTGCTTTCAGACAGGAAATCAAATCCAGAAGGTCAATCCCAGCTGGTTTCAGAGAGGGAACGGAGGAAAAGATGTCAATCCCAGTTGCTTTCAGACAGGGAACTGAGCCAAAGACATCTATCCCAGTTGCTTTCAGACAGGGAACTGAGCCAAAGACATCAATCCCAGTTGCCTTCAGACAGGGAACTGAGCCAAAGATGTCAATCCCCGTTGCTTTCAGACAGGGAACTGAGCCAAAGATGTCAATCCGGAATGATTCAAGCAAGAAAGTTGGGCAAAAAATATCCATCCCACTTGCCTTCAGACAAGGAACAGAGCCGAAGTTGTCAATCCCCATTCATTTCAAAAAGGAAGTTAAGAAAACAATGTCCGTTCCAGTTTCTTACAGACAGGGAACGGAACCAAAGATGTCAATCCCGGTTTCTTACAGACAGGGAACGGAACCAAAGATGTCAATCCCAGTTTCTTACAGACAGGGAACGGAACCAAAGATGTCAATCCCAGTTTCCTACAGACAGGGAACGGAACCAAAGATGTCAATCCCAGTTTCTTACAGACAGGGAACGGAACCAAAGATGTCAATCCCAGTTTCCTACAGACAGGGAACGGAACCAAAGATGTCAATCCCAGTTTCCTACAGACAGGGAACGGAACCAAAGATGTCAATCCCAGTTTCTTTCAGACAGGGAACGGAGCCAAAAAATTCAATCCCAAGTGCATTTAGACAGGGGACAGAACCATCTAGAGCCACCGTCAAAACTTCGAAAGTTGCCTGTAAAGGGGAGATCATCTACGGAAAATGCTACGAGTTCAACCCAAAGTTGTTGGCCTTCAAAGACGCCCAGGTAGGACTATTTACAAACCCCTGTAAGTATGTGTACCCTCTTAGAGGTTTTTGTTATTTCAGTTTTTTGTGTTCAGGCTAGATATTGGACATTTAACTGTGACAAAAAAGCAGAAACAAACATGGTTAGACTTCTTCCTAGCCTTTACCAGGAATAGTTGCAACCCCTACTGATTAAAATTGTTTCCATTTCTGTTCTCCTCACTTTGCTATAAATAATATAATATTTCCTCTGCACAGGCCTTTTGCAGAAATCTTGCCCCAGATGCTGAGCTGGCCTCTGTGACGAGCAGAGATCTCCATTTCCAACTGGTTTCCCTGGTAACTAGGGGTGGCAAGACCAGCCCTATGCTGACCTGGTTGGGAGCCACAGTCAAGGCAAGTTATTTTCTCAATCAAGAACTAACATTTCTAAATAAGGGGAAGAGTATTTCTGGAAATACACACAAAGAAAGCAGTATTACAGCCCCTCTTCTCTCAGACTACCCAAAAGCTCGATGATGCAAGCAGACTGGCCATGTACTGAGGCACTAAAGGAGGCCAAGGAGAATGTCATCAGATATGTTATCAACAAGACAGATAATGTTATTCTTACCTTGATGAAACATTGACCCTTGAACCCTTATTTGGAATAGTTTCACTCACTCCAGTTGCTAGGAGAGCCTAAACTGTAGACAGATAACTAGAAGATGAACGGTGTTATAAACTTATAAGGTCAAACTCACAGTTTTGAGATGGTTACTTACCTCATCACGGGCATAAATGTATACTTCTGGTGTTTTTGGATCTATTTAAACACGTTTTTTTTCCAGGTGATGTGTTAATTCAATAGCAATTATTTTACAGACATGAAAAGGAAAAATCTTCTCAACTTAAATCATGTAGATTAGCCAACAAACTCTTGATATATGTATATTTCATAAGAAAATGATTAATAAACAAAATCTATAAAACATAACATTAAAAAACATAGATAATGAACATACGGCAACACAAAAAGCTAAAAATTTAAACTTCAGCTTTGTTCTGTTTGAGCTGAAAATTTTCAATTTATGACATCATATGTCGATATATATTGGGGTCGTGATTAGGAGAGCTCTGGGTGAGCAGCTTAGTTATGCAAAATCTATACCATATGTCCTCATGTATCCACCCAGTTATAGGATATAAAGATTAAAAACAGTAGGGCCTAAAATGGAGCCTTGTGGAACACCATAGCAAGTTTCCTATATTTACAAGAATTTTTCTTTTATTCATCTATTGGAATGTTAGTTTAAGGACAGATTCAGAGTCCATTCAGTCTGAGCCTGTCTGATAAGAGGGCATGGCCGTACTAAGCTGCACTGAGGTCTAGTTGAAACACTATTCAAGGTGGGTCCTGATCCATATGATATCAGAAACTGTTTAACATATTTGGGAGTGCAGTTTCTGTGCTAATACTTGTTTGGTTAGTCTATTAAAACTGAAAACAAGGTTATTGGATGGTAAGTACAAGGTATTCAAATGTTTCAGCACGGCGAAAAGAAAAATGCTCACTTAGGATTTCAGGAGGAGAGCGGAGTTCTGCTTCAACATCTTCGATATTCACTCAAAGGCACATACAGACAAGTAAAAATGCCCTTTTAAGATCAAACTTGACAAAAAAATAAGTTAAAGCTACAGTGTGTAACTTTTAGCGACATCTAACGTCCAGACTGCAGACCGCAGCAACATGAACATCTCCCTCCCCCACCGCTTCTCCCCCCCAACAGTACGGCGAGCGTTACGGGACAAAATGTCTTCCACGACGTCCGCATCACCTACCTTCTCAAGTGATGAGGTTTGTTTACATAGATAATTTTACAGATAGTATTCTCAGGCATAATACTGCCATCTATTGTTCAGTACCGTCTCAGTTCATCTCTCTCAACTTGCCGTTGTTATTTTCGAGCGTAATGGGCGATCTTGCAATCGCTAGTTTGTTGGCTCTGCGCTGCCGTAGCGCAAAGATGTCTGCCTCCATGGCTGCGAGACCCGCTCCTATGTAATTATAAATAACGAATTCTAAGGCAACGCAAATATTAAGGTTGAGAGGCTGAGCTCGTAGATGATGATAAATAACATAGTTGTGTATAATATATTACATTTCTGACTGTATATCCCTGTAATTATTACACACTGTAGCTTTAACAGGCCATGATAAAAAGAAGAATTATGAGAAATGTCACAATGACGTTTTTAAACCTGACAATATTTAACTGTCACACACGGTGTTGGCAGCATCATGTGAGCTTGTTACATTTAGCAAAGAAAATAGAATAATGGTTTCTCTGTATTCTTGAATGAATAAAGCCGGTTACCATTACACCTCAGGGCCTCATCTTCAGAAACATTATTAGAAGCTAGATGCTCGCTAAGATACCAAAACATTTAAGTAAATCCAATCAGAACTTCATCACCGAATTGTTGATTTAAATAAATAAATCACTACAGCAGAGCAGTTGAAACTGATTTAAAACCCCAAAATAAAACAATATTACCCTAATACTGAATGTAAACCTTCTGCCAACATCAAGGTGATAAAACTGGTATGTAAAAAGAATGATTTCTTTGCAGAACCAGCAGGCCTCTTGGGTGGACGGGTCGGACTGGAGCTACTCCGACTGGATGCCGGGACATCCCAACATTCACACCGACAAACCAGTCTGCGTCGAGATGTTCAAGATAGGTACGAAGCACCCTCACCGGACATTCGCAAACACATTGAATAACATTCATATATTGTCTGAGAACGTCGTCTAGTAAAATTAAAGGCTTCTTATAGGGGAAACACAGTGGCTGATAGAATATAAAACAAAATGGCTTCTTCTACTTGCTTTTCACACATCTGTCCCTACTCACTTTTTCAGATGAGAGCTGGTGGACCGCAGCCGACTGCGAACTAAAGCGAGCCTCCCTCTGCTCGTACCCTGTCACTGCATAAAGATACAGTAGATGATGTGAGATACGTCTACTGCAGGAAAAATCATCCCTACATGTGTTTGTAGTGTACTTACCAAATCACATCAAAGGATCTTCCCTAATAAAACCAAGCATACAAAAAATGTGTTTCTCTTTTGAATCTAGGACAACTGATTTATTATTTTTTTTTTTTTTATGAAAAATATTAACGCCTCAGATGTTAAAATTTTAATAGACAAAGATTAGGGACGTGTTTTACGGTCTAATTTAAGTAGAAACAATTAGTGTTGCGCCGATGCCATTTTTTGGCCCCGGTACCGATACCTGGCTGTGCATAATTGGCCGATACCGATACCATCTGTTTGAAATTGATGTATGTGTGTATATACACTATATTGCCAAAAGTATTTGCTCACCTGCCTTGACTCACATATGAGCTTAAGTGACATCCCGTTCCTAATCCATAGGGTTCAATATGACGTCGGTCCACCCTTTGCAGCTAGAACAGCTTCAACTCTTCTGGGAAGGCTGTCCACAAGGTTTAGGAGTGTGTTTATGGGAATTTTTGACCATTCTTCCAGAAGCGCATTTGTGAGGTCGCACACTGATGTTGGACGAGAAGGCCTGGCTCTCAGTCTCCGCTCTAATTCATCCCAAAGGTGTTCTATCGGGTTGAGGTCAGGACTCTGTGCAGGCCAGTCAAGTTCATCCACACCAGACTCTGTCATCCATGTCTTTATGGACCTTGCTTTGTGCACTGGTGCACAGTCATGTTGGAAGAGGAAGGGGCCAGCTCCAAACTGTTCCCACAAAGTTGGGAGCATGGAATTGTCCAAAATGTCTTGGTATGCTGAAGCATTCAGAGTTCCTTTCACTGGAACTAAGGGGCCAAGCCCAGCTCCTGAAAAACAACCCCACACCATAATCCCCCCTCCACCAAACTTTACACTTGGCACAATGCAGTCAGACAAGTACCGTTCTCCTGGCAACCGCCAAACCCAGACCCGTCCATCAGATTGCCAGATGGAGAAGCGCGATTCGTCACTCCAGAGAACGCGTCTCCACTGCTCTAGAGTCCAGTGGCGGCGTGCTTTACACCACCGCATCCGACGCTTTGCATTGCACTTGGTGATGTATGGCTTGGATGCAGCTGCTCGACCATGGAAACCCATTCCATGAAGCTCTCTGCGCACTGTTCTTGAGCTAATCTGAAGGCCACATGAAGTTTGGAGGTCTGTAGTGATTGACTCTGCAGAAAGTTGGCGACCTCTTCGCACTATGCGCGTCAGCATCCGCTGACCCCGCTCCGTCAGTTTACGTGGCCTACCACTTCGTGGCTGAGTTGCTGTCGTTCCCAAACACTTCCATTTTCTTATAATACAGCTGACAGTTGACTGTGGAATATTTAGGAGCGAGGAAATTTCACGACTGGATTTGTTGCACAGGTGGCATCCTATCACAGTTCCACGCTGGAATTCACTGAGCTCCTGAGAGCGACCCATTCTTTCACAAATGTTTGTAAAAACAGTCTGCATGCCTAGGTGCTTGAATTTATACACCTGTGGCCATGGAAGTGATTGGAACACCTGATTCCAATAATTTGGATGGGTGAGCAAATACTTTTGGCAATATAGTGTATATGAAGAACAGCATACTACTTGGATGTAAAATAATTGCCATCATGGCTTTATCAAGCTGCTGCCTACCTTTGTGAAGCAGGAAAAAATACTAATAGAAAGTGAATCCGGTAGAACTTTTTATTGCCTACCTGGAATTGGTGACAGTAGTTGAATAAACTTTTGGTTCTCAAAATGGTATCGATGCCGATACCACCATTTTAGAGCTGGATCGGGCCCTGCCTGATTTTGGTATCGGTGCAACACTGGTTGCAAGTGCTTTTTGATCAAGCTTCAGGAACGAATTGCTGGATTCAAAACATCTGAAGCGAGGTGGTGAAGTCCTGAAACGGCAAAGGAGCACAAACAGATTAACACTCATTTCCTGCTTTTTTTTTGGGAGTCATTTTAATAGACAGACCAGTATTGCTCCACATTTTCTCCCTTTGTGAATAATGGTTCTTCCAAACTGGTGCAGGACTTAAGATTTTTTCACTTTGTACACACAATTGTATACAAAAAGAAATTTTGTTGAGTACAGCTCTCTAGACCGTTTCCTTTTTTATTGTGTAGCCTTGATAAAGGTAAGCAGCAGTGATGAAAAAACACTGTGGTGAAAAAAAGTGATGTAAACATATGACTGTATAGTTACAGTTCCAACAATCTCTTTTTTTAATATATATATATATTCTCCATTTATATAATATTTAGCAGTCTAAATTACATTTAATTTATTTTAAATTCAATTTAAAGACCTTTAAGCCTATCTTCATGTAGATAGGTGGGTACTATTGAGGTAGTTTCTCGTTTGGTCTAAAGTTAATCAGACCCGTTTGTGACAAATTATCCTTCTTTTATAAGTAATCATAATGAAGTCGTAATTAAACAGATAATTTTTTCATGCAGTTATAAATAAATTAAATATTTTTATGCCTTTTATCAACTTTTGTTATCTTTTTCATGATACATAAAATCCCTTTGATGATCTAAAACATTTAAATATGGCAAAAACCTAAATGTTAGATCTAAAAGTAGGGATTTTTTTTTTTTAATAGAATAAAACCATAAAAATTGTTTAATTTAGACAAGACTTTAATGATCGTTTCCCACATGTGTATACAAAGCAGTTTGTACAGATTAGGGAGCCAAGTTAAAACGACGCTACAACTTTTAGTACCTAGAAAGTGCAAAAAGGACATTTAAAAGACGCTGAAATAAAAATCATGCTGTACATTATATATATTTATACTGTTTTCATAAATAATCACAGATATTCACACATCCATTAAGGTGACGCTCACAGAGGATGCAGCTAAGACACAAAATAGTATTTCCGATTATTAATTGAGTCCTATGTCATTGGTTCCCATTGAGACTGTTGAGGTTGGACATGTGGAATGCTGCGCTAAGTTGGTTTTAGGGACAAATGGCTTCAATGATGGACCAAGCTCCACTTTGTTGACACAACTGGCATAAAGGCACTCTGTTTGTTGCAGTCGTGGAGCAGCTCAAACAGTGGTCTTTTATGAGAACAATAAATACGTATTTTAAAAAGGAAAAAAAAAAATGCATTCAGAAAACAATTTAAGCACCTTTCACAGAAATCTCAAAAAGGATGCAGTTTGGTCTTTGCACTACCCCAAGCTGTGACATTTAAATAAAAACTAAACAAGATGAAAAAAAAAAAAAAAAAAGAGCGACTGAGGCAAAAATGTGGTGCAAAAATAGCAATCATAGCTGCTTCATACTGCAGAGTAAATAACTCATAATAAATCTCTTACTAACAAGGCATGCAAAACATACATGACGCCATGTAAAAAAAAAAAAAAAAAAAACTTCACTGATAGTCAGTCATGGAGCAGAAGTGATGATAGGAAAATTAAACAAGACGCTCTGGGATACGGAAGCCTGGATTGTTCAAATTAGTGACACGCTATCCCAGTTAGAGCAGAAGGAAGACTGGAATCAGAGGAAGGAATTGTATTGCTGCTAACACTGACATCTCGTACAGCCCTTACGCATTTCTTCATTTTCACAAGTGTGCGGACAGCCAGAGGAACCCCTAACTTTGCCAAACTGGAGTCTACAGGTGAAGAAATCAGATAGAAAACGTTGCTACTCATAAAGAAACACAAGTTCAAGTAACTCCGAAACATTCAGCCGCTTGTTTTCCCAGCTAAATCTAATGGAAGTTAGGTGCTTCATAATGTAGTGTTTTAGCGATTAATCTTAGTGTTAAAGCCTCGATTTATAAGAAAAACAAACAAATTAAAAAGATTTAAGCAAGATTATATGCTTTTGTTTGTATATTTTGACAATGCTGGCCGTATTTATTGTTATCCCTGGTTAGGATGTTTCAAATGCCTTAAAACCAGTTTTAGTGTTGCAGCAAATTCTCGGTAAATCCTTAATTTTAAGTACATACGTTCAGTGGCATCCTTGCACTATTATACCTAGACCCACAGCATCAGAGATCCTCCTCAGTAAACTGAGAAATAAAAGGCTTTTCCTACGATTAAGCCTTTTATTCCACTCTAGAACCCCCCAGGAGTCTTTAAAAAAAAACTTTCATTTCGCATATTTCAGTTGAGATATGCACCATTTTAAAAGAATTGACCGTCGCACAAACATTTGCAGCCTTTGGATTTCCTGTAAATGGATGCAACTGAAGCATTTTTTTTTCAAACCTGCCCAAGTCAACGCCTACATTAACAATTAAAAAGATTAAAACTACTGGAACTTTCCTAAAAAAGACTGGATTAGGCTCAGGTGAGTTTATCCGCTGTCTCTAGTGAGCAGGATGGTGAAAGAGAGGCAGAAATCGGCAAAGCTCATCGTTAGAGAAGCGGAGCAAAGAGTACATCTTAAAATATGCTGAGATTTGCTATACTGGGATTTTAATTTGACACATTTTTCTACAGTAAACAAACTAAACACCTCCCCCCACGGTCTAGGATGTATGATGCTGTGGGCTTGCTTCCCTTAAAATAACAGGAACAATTAAAAGGTATGTTGTTTTTTTTTATCCCAGATTATTTAGAAGAAAGTTTACGGTCGAATCAACACTAAATAAATATTTTTGATTTCTACTGGTTTTTCAGTGCAGGATCTTTTCAGGTGTTCCAACAAATGAGTCCGTCTCTTTATACAAACCTATTGAAAAAAGGCATAGAGTTAGTTTTGCGAGTGCTGGAGCTGATTTACTGCATAAGGCTGGAAACCGAGAAGACTCCCAGCCGACATAAACAGAGCCATCTGTCCGACTCAAAATAAAGGTCACTTACATCTAGCTTGTTGTCTGTTTTTTTTATATATATATATTGGCGATACGCTTCTCATTCAGACAAACACACACTTGTTTGATTGTTATATATGGTGAGGAATGAAGAGGGGGGTAGTGGTGGGATGTTCTGCAAAGGAACCACAGCGCCAGCGCTTTGATGGTCAACCAAAGCAGGACAACACACCCAGAAAAGATGGATGAGCAGGATTTATGACGCCACTTTCCAATCAGTCGCTTGCTCAGCTAAAGAAAAAAAATGGAGGAACTTAAGGGAGTTTATGAAAAATGAGGAACAACCGGATGTGAGGGGTAAACAGGAGTCAGGGATCAGTTGCTCTCCTGATGGGTGTTGTATTCCGTCTCCGTTGAGATCTGAGTCATCCTCTTGCTGGAGCCCCACAGCTTTCGTGTGATCTGGCTCGATCGCATCTGGGAAGAGCGGAGGAAGAGGAGGAGGAAGTCGGAGAAAGGGAGTTCAGGGGGGGAGGGGGGATGGAGAGTGTGGGGAGAAAAGTGTCAAAAGGAACAAAAGAAGGAGGGAAAAGGGGAAAAAGGAGGGATGTGATTCATGATCGCAGCTTGATTGACTTGTGAGGTAATAAAGAAATACAATCAAGGCTTGATTGACTTTGGTGAGTCAGTCTAAGCAAAAAAATGAGGAAAAGCTGGAAGGTGCAATGATTAAAACAAAGCTCCCACATTTATAACTATTTTGGCACATCGTTATTATTATTATCAGTCTGTTTTTATGGCTTTAGTTTGAAGGAGTTTCACAGCATATTTATTCTGGATTGAATATAAGCACTGAATTCTCAATTCGATGATGTGGAAGAGCGGGAGACGACGTCCCTGAGGAGGAGAGGTGAGGCGTGCGGAGGAGGTTTCACATGTTTGGGGTGGGCGAATGTGTCTCTAATCTACAGTTTAAATCAAGGGGGGAGAAACAAACGACATGCTAGGGTCTCTGTGGACTGGAAGTGGGGCTGAACACCAACTGGTCCCGCTGGTGGAGCAGGCGCGTCGGCGAGCGAGCCCTCAGAGGGGCCAGCAGCGGGGAGGCCATAAGGGGCGACCCCTCCAGGCTCTGAGCGATGTAGTTCCGCAGAGAGTTCTTTACCTCCGCCGGCTTGCCCACGCCGACGATGATCAGCTTGCCGTCGTCCAGGCCCACCAGGACGTGGCTCTGCTCCTTGGTGACGGAGACGCTACGGACGGGAACTCGCATGGTCATGGGCTCGGAGCAGAGAGACAGGCTGGAGGAGAAACAAACGAAGCGTCACGGCGGTGCGTGGAATACCTGAACACAACCGTCTTCCTCACCTTAAACCACAAATTAAATGCATTTCTCCACTCACTGTTGCCCCCTACAGGCCATTAAGCAACACACTAATCAACTGACAATGGGAGGAGAGTTTTACCACTAGCTTTTAGGCCGGATTAAACGCACTTTTCAGATTTCACTTTTATGCATTAAATTCTGTCTGAGGTTTTACTGCAATCCTGCAGATCGTTTGCTTACCTGTACAGATCCCGGATGGACAGGTATCCTTGCTCACTCCCAATGATTACATACTCCCCTGAAACACACATATCAGTCACCTGCTCCTTCAGCCCCTCACTGCAGAGGTGCTTCCCGTTCACAGAGTAAAGATGAAGAGTGTTTTTGTCCTGAAAAAACACAACAAAAACTAAGCACAGCTCATGCATCTCCTGTATTCAGCCGGTTGATACGAATGCTACTACGTTTACTTTGAGTGTGGCCTTGCCCTCCAGGCACGTGTGGACCAGCAGGTGACCCTCCCAAGACACGGCCAGGTGGAGGATGGACAGCGGCAGGGAGCTGTCACACGGCGGCCGCAGGCAGCGCATGTACTGACCTCGGCGGACGGTGTGGATGATCACCGTTCCGTCCTGGAGGCAAAACAATTTGCATCTTTGGATATTTGTTCTGCTAATACCATAAACCTAATTACTACAGAGTTGTTTTTCTTCTTCTGTCAACCTAAACCCTGAAAATGGTGATATTATCTAAAGAAAACCAAAAATACAAACTGATATGACATCCTACCACTAGATGGCAGCACCATAAAGGATAAAGGGAATAGAAATAATGCTGCCGTCTTACTCTTGAGCCAGAAATGGCCATATCCAGCTCCGTGCTGATGGCCACGCTGACCACCTCATCCGTGTGGCCGTATAGCACCTGGATGGGTTTGGAAGAAAGACCCACAGGAGCTCCGTTCTTCAATAAAGAAAGCAGAACACAACATGAAACCACTTTTAACACACCGACCGTGTTCTTTGTTCAGAGGCGCCCATCTGCTCCGACCTGCTGCAGAACCTGCCACACCATGCAGGTTGTGTCTCTGGAGCCAGAGATCAGGTGGATGCCGCAGTGGTCGGTTGATAAGCAGGTAACCACATCTGAAGGGTGGAGATAAAAAAACATGCAAAAAAAAAAAATGAGGGAACTACAAAGAAGATGGAAACAGACGCTGATCATCTATTTCTTTACCCATGTGTCGGATGTGCTGTCCCACGGTCTTCCCCTTGACCAGCGAGGTGACCCTGAGGCTGTTGTCCCAGTGTCCACCACTGAAGAGCAGCTTTCCGTCATGGGAGACAACAAACAGGCCTGCTGTGAGCTCCACGCCGGGGGCAAACGGCCCTGACAGGAAACGCTGGGTTCTAGAAGGATATATATATAAAAAACGATGATGACTTGATGTCAGAAGTATCATTTCTCTACATGTAATAGGATCATCGTGCTCACTTGGTGTTGGACACTGTGGGGTCCTTAATGAACGTGAAGTAGTTGGAGATGTTCTTATTGTAAGGCAGCCACCCATGGGTCCCCACCAGGCAGTTATGACTCACCGTCACCTGGAGGCGCCATAACATCCAGAGGCGTTAATGCTAACATCAATATAAACCCTTTTATTAGAGGAAGGAAAAACTCACCATTGTGTCGGGGCTTCCCTGGCTGATAAACGAATGGGACTGGTTCTTTGGTACGACGGCTTTAACCAGCGGCACGTTGTCGCTGATGCCCTGCAGCGTGTGGGGGCAAACTTTTTTTTTAGTTTTTTTTTTTTTTTTAAATCGTTCTAAACTGTTAAGTGATTCTAAATACCTCAACAAAGAAGGACTTGAGATCTCCGAGGTGTTCGAACATGTTAAGAGGACTGGAGTCCTGCTGAGCCTTCCTCTTCTCCACCTCCTCTTGAGACAGACGGACCGGATGGGGCTCCTACAGTCCAAACGGAAACACAGACTCAATACGACTCTGGCAGTAAAGACGCAGGAGGTCATTGCATCGCATCGCTGCTGATTTCTTTAACAATAGGACTCCTACTAGAACTCCCACTGGCCATAAATTTGACAGGTGACATTTTTCGCAATGAAACGCGTTGATGTCATCAACTGAGATGGTTCTAGTGTGCGATATAAACCCATTGTGGATACGTAAACCTTAAAACAGGTCTAATATATATTTTTCAAAGCCTGTATTGTATACTAATATAATTTGTCTTCTAAATTTATATTAAAAATAAATCAGTAGAGTAAGACTGTTTTACTACACAGGTTCAAAGTTTGAAATTACAATTTTATTTACAGAAATTGATTGATTCCCCCCAAACATTTCCCGCAGAGCACCTTTTCACATTCACAGGGTTCCTACAGCATAAGGCAAGTTAAATTCAAGACTTTTTAAGACTTGAAATAGAAATTTAAGACCAAATTCACAAGAAACACAAGAAAAACCTGCTTGCGACAACTTAACCCAAAGGTTTATTTTAACATAAACCACTAACCTGACTCCGCCAGATGGATTTGCTCTGCATATCCATCTGGAAACCTTCCGTTGAAGTAATTTTGGGAAAGGGCGAAAATACTGGTTAGCTGATTGGCCTATGTTGGTGATAGACGGGCCAAATAAACCAATAAGATCAACGAAGCATATGACGTAACAGAGCGACGACGAAGAGGAGCCAATTGATAGATCAAACTCTTGCCGAAACCAGTCGGGAGAAGAGCAAAAACATCTTTTCCTCTGAGAAAAGCCTCCAGAGGAGTGTTCTCATAGGTGGACTAATGACCGGGCCTACCGGGCCCAGGCCCAGGGGGCCAGAGGCCCCAAGGGGCCAGGCCAACTTGGCCCCGCGGCCGCGACCCAAGCAAAACTACTTTTGCAAAAATAATAATCTTAGGCCCCGAGGGGCCAGGCCAACTTGGCCCCGCGGCCACGATCCATAGAGGGTAAGAGGCCCCAAGGGGCCATGATTCATAGAGGGTAAGAGGCCCCAAGGGGCCAGGTCAACTTGGCCCCACGGCCACGACCCACAGAGGGCCTGAGGTCCTAAGGGTTCAGGCCAACTTGGCCCCGCGTCCATGATCCATAGACGGTCAGAGGCCCCAAGGGGCCAGGCCAACTTGGCCCCGCGGCCACGATCCATAGACGGTCAGAGGCCCCAAGGGGCCAGGCCAACTTGGCCCCGCGGCCACGATCCATAGAGGGTCAGAGGCCCCAGGGGGCCAGGTCAACTTGGCCCCGCGGCCACGATCCATAGACGGTCAGAGGCCCCAAGGGGCCAGGCCAACTTGGCCCTGCGGCCACGACCCACAGAAGGCCAGAGGCCCCAAAGGGCCAGGCCAACTTGGTCCCGCGGCCGCAAGCCACAGAAGGCCAGAGGCCCCAAGGGGCCAGGTCAACTTGGCCCCGCGGCCACGACCCACAGAGGGCCTGAGGTCCTAAGGGGTCAGGCCAACTTGGCCCCGCGGCTATGATCCATAGAGGGCCAGAGGCTCCGAGGGGTCAGGCCAACTTGGCCCCGATCCATAGAGGGTCAGAGGCCCCAAGGGGCCAGGCCAACTTGGCCCCGCGGCCACGACCCACAGAGGCCCCAAGGGGCCAGGCAAAATTGGCCCCGCGGCCATGATCCACAGAGGGCCAGAGGCTCTCAATCATTATTATCAAAGCTAATTCTCAAATTGGATGGATCACACAACCTCACTCACATATTCTTTATCAATTATTAAAGGTTGTTTCTGAATTTTGATCACAGAACTTAATGCAAATATTCTTGATTGATTGACAAAGCTCATTCTCAAATTTTGATTACACAACCTTACTCTGACAAATTATCACTATCAAAAAGCTCTATCTCGAATTTGGATCACAGAATCTCACTCAAGTATTCTTAGCTGTGCCCCTCCCCCATCGAGTCTTTCATAAACCGGTCTGTTCTTTTAGAATCTCCTCATTTGGTATTTTGAACTCGTGAGAGACTGCTCAAAATTTGGTTTCCTTTCCCTCAGTTCAGACTCAGAGATAATTTGAAATCATTCAACAAGAAGTTTAACGCGCGCACACACACACACACACACAGACACACACACACTTGAGTTGAGCATTACTTGGAAATTCTTATATTTTCCATTTTGCTGTTACTATCAGCATCTTCCCATTTTGTCCTTTTCTTTCGAAAAAGTTTACAGTCTGACATTTGTCACTGCTGTCAGTTAATAACTTTTTGGTCTTTGACCCATTTTGTAATTTTCTCGATTCGATCGTCACTGACCACTCTCTCCTGTCTGGCAGACATCGTTGCTGCCATCATAGCTAGCAAGCTGCTTGCAGATAGCAACATTTTGGTGTCCTTTGTGAAAATATTTAGATAGAAGACAAAAGTGCACAAAGTTGTACAATCATTATCTTTTCAAAATATTTGTTTCACTGTCAGTGTGATTGACCGACTTTGCCGCTAGATTTCGTGTCTTTTGGCCATACCTGGCTAGCGACTAAAAACATAATTTAGCGACTTTTTGGTTGTGAAGATAAGTGGTAAAAGCAGATCTGCCTGTTGGTCTTCCCACATTTTGCCATTTGGTACTTTGCACTCTTGTTGGTCACTCCAAGGCATTTGTCCCTGCCTTCAGCTAGTCACTTGGCTCTTTTGGAATATATTTCACTGTAATTGGCTCTCTCTCTCTTTCTCCTCAGTACAAATCAGTCTGTTCCCTTGCCATTTAGACATTTTCTTGATTCGATCATCACTGACCACTCTGCTCTCCTGCTGTCTATCAGACGAATCAGTTGATTCTCTGCTCTCAATTGGCTATGCTAGTAAGCTGTTATTCTCTGCTTTGGAGTGTTGATGCTGGGTTGCTAGTTTTCTAAATCACCTCACACACTTGAAGGAAGCAGCACCGATCATAAACACACAAACAAAGTCACACACACACACACACACACACACACACACACACACACACATAGTTGGTTTATCTGTTGTGATAGGCAAAGAGCCAATGTGCAAAGAAAGAAGGGAAATATGGATCATAAACGTTTAAGTGGAGGAGCTAGAAAAAAAATTCAGCAAGAAAAGAAAAAAAAGGAATCAGTTTTACTTGAGAGTGTTCCAAATATCTCCAGCTTCTTCAGTACAAAGACATCTGCTGAAAGCAATTCTATAAATGCTACTGCAAATTCAGCTAAGGTTAGCAATGCACCTGAGCTAGCATGTAGCTCCCAAGATACTGAGACCACTACAATTGTAGACACTGAACCAAATGCTTCTGATGCTTATGATTCAACCAATTCAGCAGTAGCCAGTTGGTCGGATGAATGTGAGGTCACTGCACCTCTGGACAGCATAGAAAATGAGCTGAATCTTTCTTCAACACCATCTACAGTGACAACTCTACCTAGTGATCCCGCTAAATGGGCTGAGACCCTCACTGAGTCAATGAAGGAAGTTCTTATTCAAAGAGGTGCAAAATCATTTCACAACCGTCACAGCCATTATCCAGCTTCTGTGAGGAACAGTGGGCTAGGAGGCAAAACCCGATGCCTAAACAATGAACATTTTACTTCACACTTGCCCAATGGACAACGAGTACAAAGAGAGTGGCTGATGTACTCTCCCTCTACTGGTAATGTTTACTGCTTTGCATGCAAACTGTTTTCCCCAAAAACGCATTCTTTTGTGACAGGCTATTGTGATTGGAAACACTCAGAAAGATTTTGTGAACATGAGCGAAGTGCTGAGCACATAACCTGCATGCAAGCAGTCTTGAACCGCGCCAAAGGTGCCACAGTTGATGCAGACCTGTTCAAACAGTTTCAGGCAGAGAGCAGCTATTGGAGGCAGGTGTTACAAATAGTTGTTGCAGTCATTAAATTCCTTGCAGAAAGGGGCCTTGCATTTAGGGGTAAAAATGAATCGTTAGGGTCTCCTCTCAATGGGAACTACCTTGGTATTCTGGAGGTCCTGGCTGAATTTGATCCCTTTCTAAAGGATCACATCAGAAAGTTTGGGCAGATGGGTCGAGGTAATACCTCATATCTGTCCTCCACCATTTGTGAGGAATTCATTGAATTGATGGGTGCAAAAACCAAACAGGCTATAGCAGATGAACTGCAAGCAAGCAAATACTACTCTATCATTGTGGATTCAACCCCAGATTTATCTCATGTGGACCAATTGACATTCATATTCCGTTTTGTTAGCAAAGAGGGCAGTGTTGTTGAACGCTTTGTGGGTTTTGAGCCCATTACTAGCCATACAGGTGAAAGTTTGGCTAACTGTGTCATGTCTGTGTTGGAAAATCTAGGGTTAGAGCTTTCAAATTGCAGGGGGTAGGCTTATGATAATGCCAGCAACATGTCAGGGAGGTATAATGGGTTGCAGGCTCACTTAAAGAAAAGCAACCCATTAGTACACTATATTCCATGTTCAGCTCACTCTTTGAATTTGGTGGGAGTCAACAGCATTGACAGATGTGGAAATGAAGTCTCTAAGTATTTTGACTTGATTCAGTCTATTTACAACTTCACAACTGCATCCACACACCGATGGGACAGGGTATTTGGCAATTCCAACATAGATCTCACACTTAAAGCTTTATCCAACACGCGTTGGAGTTGCCGTGCAGAAGCTACCAAAGCACTGTGGCAGAACTACAGTAAAATAAAAGCAGCACTACAGGTTATTTCCACTGATGACACAGAGAAACGAGACACACGAACTGAAGCTGACAGTCTAGTGCGGAAGCTGGATTCACTTGAGATGGCCTTCATGGCAGGCTTTTGGGACACTGTTCTGTCCAGATTTCAGGCCACAAGTCTGCAACTTCAAAAAGCAGACATGGACCTTGGTACAGCAGTTAGATTGCTGGAATCTCTGCGCACCTTTGTTCTCTCCCAAAGAGATCTATTTGATCATTTTGAGCAGAAAGCCTTAAACATGTTGGGTGGCACCCCATCTTACAGGGCTGAACGGACGAGGAAACGTAAAAAGTTTGCTGATGAATCAGCATCCCCAGATGTTGTGCTTGAGGGAAGGCAACTGTTTCAAATAGAGACATTTATTGCCTCTATTGATCAACTGAGTTCAAGCCTTAATCACCGTCTGGAGGCTTACAAACATCTGAACAATTTGTTCAGTTTCCTTTTCTCTTTGGATACAGAGTCCAATGCTTCAGTCCTTCACAAGGCCAAGATTCTCACTGAATCATACCCATCTGACCTCAATGAAAGTCTTGGACAGGAGCTTATACAGTTCAAATCTTTTATACAGCTCAACAACACTGATGAGGAGAGGACCCCTTCAGGACTGCTCAAAACAATAATACATTTTGGACTACAGCCTACGTTTCCTAATACATACATTGCGCTACAGATTTTTCTCACTCTACCGGTCAGTAACTGTGAGGGAGAACGCTCATTCTCTCTTCTGTCAAGAGTAAAAAATGAGCTGCGCACAAGAATAACTCAGAAAAGATTAAATGCGTTATCTCTAATGGCAATTGAGAGTGAGCTGACAAGAGAGTTGGACTTCAATGATGTGGTGGATGATTTTGCAAAATTGAAAGCACGAAAGAAACCCCTTGCTTAAAGGTGCACTGTGTAAGATTTTTAGGTTATTACCAGAATTCGCCCATTCACTAATGTTAGGCTACCTGTTTTCATGAATACTTACCACCACCATAAAATTCTAAGTATCCATTATGACTTGGAGAATTGCACTTTCGCCATTTCTGGGAAGTGTCACCTGGATTGTGAAGATAGGATTGACTTTAGGCAGAAGCTTGTTGCTTTCTCTGGCAAACTGAACCTCAAGGAACTTTTCAACTTCCCCACTATCGTGAAGGGGCCATCAAAAGATTTCAGTGTGTCCAGCATGTCTAGTCTCTTACTCTCCTTTCTTTGAGCCATCTCGTTTCTCATCTGCCCTACTCTTGAATTTTGCCTTCATGAATTTACTCCAGTTGAGTTCAACCTCCCTTTTTGCTTGTGCTGCTGCCTTGAAACCTCTGAAGCTCCTGGCACTTCTGTAAAATTATTGACCTATTGACTGCGTTCAGTGTGCCCAACTTCTTCAGTTTGTAGTCCACCTTGCCACATTGTCTCTCCATCCCAATGTTGTGCACAGGGGTGCCATCAATGTTACTAGCCTGTTCACTGACAGGGTCCATTGGGAAGGTCTCCTCATCCATCCTCTGCCTGGCCAGGACAGTCTTCAGATGGGGCAGCATGAGATCTGTCAGCTGCTTCACTTCATCCAAGTATTCGGCAGCCACGTCTGACACTGAGTTCAGGACATGTCCAGTGCCTGTCCAGCCACTATAGCATTCTTGGAAATGGGCTATCTTGACCTGCATGCAGCCCTTGTACCATGAACTGGCCTACACCTTTCTTTGTGGTGCTCTCCGATGCATGTTATCATTTTACCTTTCTCCTTCTCCTCAAGCTTAACCACAAATAGATACAGACTTTGAGCCTCAATTTGCTGCACAGCTGCCGTTATGCCAAAGTGTTTTCCTAAGATATTATTTTATTTTTAATGATAGAAGGGAGGAAAAGGGGGCAAAAATCATGTCCGATTTAGTTTTTTGGGTGGGGTGGGGGGTTTATTTCATGATAGCTACCAACTTCCAATACATAATATCTCTCAAATGACCCAATGCACCATCACTGAAGTGGGCATAATCATTTTCCAAAATGTTTATTTTTAGGCCATTTATCCCCTCCCCCTGTGTCTGTGTGAAACCTGTGCTTGTCAGTGTCTGTGTGGTATACCTAATAGTGTGTGTGCAGTATGTGCACTCTTCTGTACAGGACAGTGTGCATGTCTGTTCACAGTATACAGTATTTCTTGCATAGTGCGTGCGTGTGTGTGCGCCCGCACGCGCGGGGGGTTGAGGGGGCAAGACCATGTCAGGCCCAGGGGGCCAAAATTTCTTAATCCGCCCCTGAGTGTTCTGCTCTTCTTTCAGTGAAGAAATACTCTGTAATTCCGATAAAACTTGCTCGATAGCCACGCTAACGCTAGTTTCATCGGCTGAAGCCGCCATGTTCTTTAGACTGAACTATCGCGCTTCTCGTTGCGTCACACCTCAACCCGCCTCAAAGCCAACGCTGATTGGACGTTCGTTTGGTGAACGGCCCCAAATTTTCTTCAACGGAGAGTCCCCAGACTGATTAGCGAGTGAAATCTTGAAAGCTCGCGAGATCAGGATGGTCTCACGAGGCTAATAAACCACTGCACTAATGGTTTAAATTTTGAAAAGCTTCCCATACAGGAAGAAAGCTAAAAACACACAAATGACAGATATATCTTAACAAATATTTAACTTAATTTACAAACTTTGTTTTAGCAAATCAGTTTTAAAGCCACAAAATAACCAGTTCTAAGCCTTTTTTTCAGCTATTTTTCTTTGTATCGTTTTCTTAGTATGTTTGCTTTGGTGATAAGTGGAGGCGTTGCAGAGACAAGGGTGGAACAAAACTGAGAAATACCAGCTGTTTCTCTGTAACTCCATTTTGACGCTTTCTGTTTCACGCTTCGCATGTGCGACTCCACTGCCTTAATTCCCATCGTTCCGAGCTTGAATCGCTTCTTGCACACAATCCACTGTGCCTCGTGTATGTTCCCTGGTACTGGTTTTAGCCATGGAGAACACTCTTGGCTGGAGCCAATTTCGGTTACATGTACATGTATAAAAATAATCCTATTTATGATGTTTTAAAAATTAAGACCTACGAAAGACTGATTTAAGACATTTTTATACCAATTAAGGCCTTAATTTTATTTTAAAGAATTCAATGCCTTTTAAGACTTTTTAAGCACCTGTGGGAACCCTGTATTCATGACAAACATCATATTAACGTTTTTTTGTCCAGCGCTGAAGCACCTGGCGCTGTTTTCTGTGCCTCGCCAAAGCTGCTCTTCAGAGGTGGAGGAGTTGAAAACCTGGTTTGCCCGCAACTGTTTTACCAGTTTAAGGATAACATTTCTGCGTGAAGAAGTGACATTCAAACAGCTCCTGAACAAAACCAATGCGTTTATAGCTGATGTTTCCAGGAGATCATAAATTACAGCCACGGGTCATCTTCCCGTCAGAGCTTTTACAGAATCCTTTCTTATCATCTGATCCGACAAATCCACGCCGACCTGTGTGTGGTTATAGTAGGCCACGGGCTCTGGTTTGGCTTTTGGGCCGCTGAGTGTACTGGCTGAGGTGTGGGCTGTGCTTGAACAAAAGTTTTACTATTGTCTGATGGGTCACGGATACGTCTGCGTTTTCCCGGGGGTGGGTGATCATCCTCGGACTCGCTGTCAGAATCTGAGCCGTTTCCTCCCCAGTCCTCCTCCTCGGTCTCTCCCCCTCCTCCCGAATTGCTATCATCAATATGTTGTTTTAATTCTTCCTCGGAAAGCCAGTTTTTCATATTAGCCAAAGAGATCTAGGTAGAATGTTGGTTGCTAGGCAACGGTACGGAACGTCAATCAACCGCGGGAAGAATTTACCATTGCAACTAATAGAGCCGTCAAAATGACGGTTGTGGGAGATTAAAGTAAAATTAACCATATTTATTTTTTTACGTTTTAATTTTATTTAAAAAATGAAGGGAAACATAGAAATATAGAAACAGAAAAAGCCAGTTAACATGAGCAACATAAGATTAATTTTAAATAAAGTTCTTTCCCTTTAAAACCTTAGAACCATCAAAATGACGGCCTTGGGAGTTCTAGTGTTAAATGGTTTTCAGGTAATATACATGCGGGGAAGGTTGAGGTTCACCTTGAGTAGCTGGCAGGGAGTCTGACCAAAGTTGCTGATCATGCCTTCGACGGCCTTACGCTCCTTTTCATCAGTTATTGCATCCAAGTCTACGGCTCCTGGAAGAACATCAGGCTTGAAATAAACAAACTGATCACAATGAAAGTCTGAAACAGAGCAGACTTTTTTTCCAGGAGAAGAAGGAACCTTTGGTTCTACTCTGGTTCCTTATGCTTTACCCTCATAAGTGCAGTAATAAAAGACGTTGAGAGCCTCCACAGCTGCAGGGCCCCTCTGTTTGTAACCGAATATCAGGTCGATCCACTCGTGCAGGTGGGCCGAGACGTGCTCAGACTCCTGTTACAGAAAACAAACGTGACCGTCCACCATCAGGTGGATCACATCCTTTAGAGCAGAACTGGGCCTTACCAGAGCTTTGCGGTGCTTGTAGATGAAGTCCTCTGGGGATTTGGCCCATTTAGGCAGAGCAACATCATTCACCCTCTCCTTGGAGATCTGCAGGCGGCCCAGATCGAAACCTCATAAAGAAGGAAAAAATATATAAAGAGCAAAAAAAAAAAAAAAAGGGAGGAAGTAGGCATTCATTTAGCAACGCCGCTCACTGTTTTGGTTCTCCAGAAATTCAGGGAAGTAGAAGAACTCCGGGATGAGCTCCTTGACGTCGTTGGGGTTGTCCATGAGGGTTTGCCACGTCGCTGGAATGGAATGGAACTGCCGGTCGGCGCAGTCAAACCTGGGAGGAGTGCATGGTGCCGTTAGTGTGCCCAGCTGTTAATAAGAGAAAATGATGCTTGAGAAATGAATCTTCCTTACCGCCCGCTCTGCAGCTGGATGTGCAGGGAGGTGAAAGGCTCCACTCGGATCATGTAGTGCATCACTCCAGCAGCGTTAGAGTAGTGGGTGCCGTAGTGGAACCGGTCAATAGTGCCTGTTGGGTCCTCAAAGCTTTCATACCTAAGGAAAAGACAGCAAAAGGTCAGACTCTGCTGCTCTGACATCCTAAAGCTCTGAGTACAATAACAGAGCAGGAAAACAGTGAGTACTTCTCTCTGACTGCTTTAGCGTTCCGTTCGTTCTGCACCGCTACCGGCTTGGACAGGTCCCTGAAAACCTGCGGGTCAGAGAGGTCCAGCTCCTCTGAGGTGTAGTCGGCCAATATCCAGGGAAACTGGACAAACACAGAGCAACCCCCTCAGGAACTCCGTAAATCACACATCGTTCTGTGTCGGTTCAGTGAACATACCACCGGGTACTGAGACAGGTCGTTGTAGGTTCTGCCTGCAATCGTGTTGAGCTGCATCAGGTAGTCAAAGTTGGAAATCTCTCTGTTCACCCATTTCTGCAACGACATAAAAATGAACTAATAATACATAATAATAAAGTTTTTCCTGTGTTTCTAATTCAATTATACCTTCCTGATAAGGATGCGCATTACGCAGCCAGGTTTCCATACTTTTTTTTACTCAATTATTATTATTATAATCCACTTAATTTCGAAAGTAGGACTAAATTCAATTGTATCTGCATCTAGATTTGACTCTCTCTCTACTCCAAACTGAATCTGTTTGTGTTGCAAAAGCTACAACATTCATTAAAAATGTCTGAAATCAAATGAACTTTCTAACCTGTGTGAGTCCGGATGCCTTCAGGAGCTCCTGAGGTGAACGGGTCCCATAAAGGCTGAGCGATCGCAGCAGCAGCATGCGGCTGTACACTTTATTCCTCACCTGTTTATTAAACAAAAAAACTATTTAGTCATCTATTTTTAAAAGAAGATTGAGGACTTATGCACTTTTATGATCAAATTAATTTATTACCTCTTTTTTAAAGTTTAGGAAATAATTTGTCTGGTCAATGAGGAAGATTTCTAGTGCTGAGCGTCGAAGGTTATATCGCCGGAGGTGGACCTCCCGGATTTGTGAAAGGGGCCACTTGAAGTCATGGCCCACCCCTTTAAGGGCAAAAAACAAAGTATTAAAGCAGGAAGGCAACAGAGTTTCTTCTCCAAAGGTAGGCTGCTCACCCTCCTCCTTCTCTTGGCTGCTGTCATAGAAATAGATGTGTTGGGTGGTGAGCTCAAGGCGCCCAGGAACCACATCCACCACCGTCACCAGCTCACAGTCCTCCAGCAGCACCATCTTCTCCTTTTGACCCACCTCCTCTGCTTCAGTCCTTCAGGACACAGCAGAGAGTAGGTGACGGTTACAAAACAGAGATATCGGTACGTATAAAACCTTCTATTTGTAAATGTTTGTCTAACTGGTTGCCGGCGGCAGCAGGGTCGTCCTCCGGCAGCTCCAATATGTCGTCTTCCAAGTCGCTGACTTTGACTTGCTTCACAGCCTCCAGCAGCAGAGGTTCTGGATTTGCACGTTGCTGGTGGACACCTGAGTGGACCAGAGAGATGACAGGATAAAACCCCTTTATAAAGTTCTTTCATTTCTTAATATTAGAGGAAACTAAGCTCATATCATCCTACCCAGGTTGTCTCTCAGAGCACTGGCCTCTCGATGAGGGTCAAAGTTGTAATTACGGACTAACTTTAGCCTCATTCTGGAGAAGTTCTCTGCGCTAGACACTCTCCAATGCATCTCATCTTGTTGTCTGTTGAAAAAAGTTCAGAAATACACATATAAGAGTCCTGAAAGCAATCTCCCATGTATAGGGCCGAGCTGATTTAGCTACTTTGATCACACACAGCAGAGAGAGAGCTGGACATTCAGGAGATACCAGAAAGGCCAAACAGAGTACAGCAAGGACGAGCTCTAAACTTTGAGATGTGAACCTTGCATCCTTTTGGAAATCTCAGAGTCAAAACCTTGGCCGTTTCTTAATTCACTAGAACGCGAGTACGGACTCGCGTTCTCGTCAAGTCCGGCCTTGACAAGAACACAGTAAAGTCTGGATTTGGCGAGAACCCGACCACGCAGCATAGATATGGGTCAATTGGAACAGAAGCGTACTCATGATGTCACCACACGCTCTTCTAGAGCGCTAGTCTCTGGATAGTAATAAAGTATTACTTTTTTCATTTAGTGGGGGAATAATGATGGATACAGTAAGATAAACACAAATCAGAAAATGAATTTTGCCAAATAAAACAAATAAAATCGCCATCAGAGCCAGCAGTCCTTCACACACGGCTATGTCGAGAAAGGACTGCTGCAGACGGGCTAACGTTAGCCCTGGCTACCGTTGGCTTTGGAGCTCAGCTGGTTGCCGCGGTCCTCTGACGTTTTAAAGTATAATATTCTCGCCTCAAATGATCTTAAAACGTACTTTTATTGAACAACAGCAACAGAAAAGAGAACTTTTAACTTTCAATGGAGTGCTTCATTAAAAGCTGCTGCTGCCGCGGTGCATGCTGGGACAGCTGTCAATCTCAAGAACGAACAAATCTGCTCTGATGCATACTCGATAAAGAGGGCGGGGCAAGAACAACATCCGGGGATTTGGTGCGTTCTCATGCTCGCATCCTCGGCAATTGACGAGTACACGAGAACGCTCAAGAACGCATATTGAGAAACGGCCCTTTTCTAAAAAATGTTCCCAAACTACCTGCGCTAATATCTAATCTATGCTAAATCGCATACAACACTTAACATTTCTTGTTGTCCGGCTCGGTTGGCTTCATTTTTAGAAAAGCTCATATCATCTCCACTTGTGACTTAGAAATTGTCAGACAGCTTATTTTACCAGGAAATTATGGAAATATTTTTCCATCTAGGCTAACACATACCATGCTAATGCTAGTTCACCAATTTACAATGTTTCTATAATATATCCAAAGAAAGCCCATCAGTATATTTTACACTAATCTAAGTCTGTACTATATTTTTGCTTAAAACTATAAACCATATATGACTGAACAAGGCAGAAAATGACAAAAATATTCACTCTTATTGTTTTTATCATTTTATCGTAATTAAATTAGCAATATAAAAAAAGAAAATCCAAGATAAAAGCTTATTTAAAGTGCCCTTCTTAGAGAAAAGGGGAGGAAAAAAAACAGGAAGTGCCAGGAGTTAACGTACCTGTCAGCCCATGGACCCCTTTCACACACCAGGCCGCGTCGTGCTGCCTTCCACTGCCTGAGGGTCGCGCTGTTTTGGCTGTGCTGCTGCTTCAACATATTGTTATAGCGCAGGTTTTCTTGGCGGCTGCGTCGCATGAACGGCTCCACAAATTGCTCCTGGAGAAAGGAAATGAATTACGCTTCTGAGACGGACCAGGGGACGGTCATCATCGGGTCGTTCTGCTGTTAGTTCACCTGGAAGCGGATCTTACTCTCGCCCCTCTCTCGTTCCCGCTTGTGCAAGCTGACCATGAACGCCTCATAGCACTCCTTCCAGTACAGAGCCATGGTTTCATGACCCTGACTGAACATCTCAATTTCATATTGCTTCATGTACGGAATAATCTGTAATCAGTGAAAACAAGGAAAAATGTTTACTTTTTTGCATCATAAATTCTAAGAAATAAATTAATCAGCATCAGTGAGTCGGACCCTCGTACATATTTATCGAGGTAGACGCGCCACTCGGGTGAGTCGCAGTAGAGCTTAAAGTCCTCGAAGAAAGAGGGACTTCCATTGGTGTCGGGCAGCTGAGGCAGGTGCAGCTCCATGTAGAGGAGGCGGTGGACTTTGGAGAGCAGCGTTCGGAGCACCGGAACCAGGAAGGAGTACGTCTCATCTGTCTGCTCCTGGACGGAGCGCCGCAGGATGCCCTCCAACTTCCCCAGCAAGTAGCAGGCTTCATCCTGGCTCGACACTTCTTTGGTTTGCAGGATGCCGTTAAGCTTTGCTGAGGCCAAGGCACACACCTGAGGAGAATTCATGGCATCATGGCACATGCTTGGAATTGTTCTTTGGAAGAATAGGAGACAAATTTACCTCCATGTCTTCTTGAGCCATGAAGCCCAGCAGAAGTCTCAGCCCTACTTGGGAGAGCTGGAACCACTGAGTCCCAGCAGAGTACCACACCATGAGGCAATCCATCAGAGTCACAGTCTCCTCTAACACCTTGTCTGTCCACAGGGCTGGGTTGACCAAACCCTCCGCCTGCAGGAAGTCCTGCACAACGTGAAGCAGCCGAACGGCGTTCTCTGTGTGATGCGGTAGCGAAGCGGCCGAGGCCTCCCGGTTATCGGTCACAGCCCACTCCAACATGCGCTCCAAGAGACTGGAAGACAGAAATCAAAACATAAGCAAGAGTCGGAGAGATGTAACTGTTAAAACAGTAGACAGGATGGTGACCTCAGCTTGATCTGGTCGACAGGAAGCAGCAGCTCTTTGGTAGTCGCGAGTTTGGTGAGAGCTGAGAAGACCTGCCCCCGTTCCAGCCACGCCGAGTCATCGGAGCCCTCCACGCCTCGCCACATCACAAACAGGACGATCTCCAGCAGCATGCTGCAGAGCTCCTCCTCTGCCCTCTAGAGGGCGACATTACACCACATTATTGTCCTCCTTTACTCCATCCTACTCTGTAAATCATGCATGCAGGAAATAACAGGATCCTGCAGAGTGGATGTAATCTGCCCCTCCTATTGATTTCTGGTGAACCGCTGAAACCCCCAAAGGTTTGCAGATGAAAGGGAGCTCCCTGAGGAAGCAGTGACATGTCAATAACTGATGGAAGCTCTTTTTATTTCCTTTCAGATATTTTTACAGATAAGTAAGGAGCACAGAAAACATGTGGAACAAGGTGTTCTGGTCCTGCTGTGGTGAAACTTTTCAACAGCAGTGAACTGACAGTTAATTTTACTCAATATTTAAAGGACAATTTTGCACCACGAACAAACGGCTACAAATAGAACAATTTGATTTAGATGCTAGAATGGTCGGGTCAAATCTAGACTTAAATCAAAGCCAGAATCTGGGGCTAAAACTGATATCTCCACACAATTTGATCACATGAAGCCCCCAAAACACTTCAATGATTTAAAAGGTAATTTAGAAAATAAGTTCATAAGGAAAACAAAACAAAAATGATAAGAACTTGGGATTGATTTTAAAGGCATACTATGCAACATTTTTCAGTTAATTAATGTGTTCCATAACGTTTTGGATGATTAAATGAGTAATTTCAGGTCGAACAAAGGTTTTCTCGGCCGCCCTGGTGGTCTGTGGGGGATATACCGTACTTGCAATTGCAGGAGCACCGACCCGCACCCACAGGCTCAGAAGTCTCGTGCATCGTGAGAGTCGGTCTTGCTTTACGGCGAGAACTGCTACACGCCCCCAGTGAAAGGCATGCTCGTTGCTAGCGCAGTGGTGATATTTGTGCAGTTATCATGGCAAAATTGGAACAAAATAAATGATTCATTGCGTTCGCCTGTCTGCTAAGCTCAAAACAACCGCGCCTGGCTTGATGGAGAAACCAGGAGAACAGCTGAGCATATTTACGACTGCGCACTTTTACTTTCGCCCTTTGGGAGGAGCCTCGCTGGAAAATCAACACCGGTTGCATAGTGTACCTTTAAAGATGAAAACAAAGCAGTCAGTCCGACCTCACCTCCACATTGTTGAAGGATTCCCCCAGTGAGATGTTGTCACTGAACAGGAAGCTGTCTTCAGTAAAAGAGGCTGTTGCATCTTTATCCCCCGAGTTCCCAGGGAGGGGCTTTGCAGTCTCCAGTGGAGAAGGAGTGCTGGGCATGCTTGCAGGCGTTTGGCTTCCACTCTCTCCGCCCTCACAGGCCTGAAGGTGTGAAAGATCTAATGTCAAGCCTCCTGATTTACTCAGCACCCATGGCTTGATGGGGAGCTGCGGCTCGGTGGAGGCGGAGGAAGACGGCGTGTCCAACAGCGAGATGACATCGGCATCCAAGCTGTCCACGGAGCGCGTGTCTCCTACGCTGAGCCGGTCGTCCTCCAGCCGGTCCAGGCGGCCGGCGCTTCCTGCTCTTGGCCTCCTCTCCAGCGGCAGCTCCAGGCGGTTATTGCCGCCGCAGCCGTTCCGGTTTAAATCCAAGCTGCAGTTGCTGGCTGTGTCGGAGCCGCGCAGCGTCAGGGAGCCGTCGCCTCGGAGGTACAGCCGCACGAGCGTGTCCTGCCAACACTGCTGCTTGGAGATCTGGCTGGCAGCTTCCTGTTGGGACTGAAGCAGCTGGTACACCTGAAGGACAGGGACGTTTATTAACCACAAAGGAGGTGGGACATGCAGCATGGAAAGCAAGAAGAGGCAGGGTAATATCAACACCCTTTCTTACCCTCTTACAGACAATAAGGCGCACACTAGGTCCAGCCCGGTGTGTGAGCTGCACAAGAGCCATCAGGTCCTTGTAGTTCACAACTTGATCTGCAGGATTCAGGACATGTTGATTGATCGAATGAAGCAGAAGTATCTTTAAATAAGCGGATTTTAAAACAACACTGACCTGTATGGAGAACCTGATTTAGGAGGCAGCGGATCAGAGTGGGGGTGATGTGAAGCTCGGAGAAAACCAGAGACAGCCCGTTGTAACCAGCTTCCCTCAGCCGTAAGCGCTGCTTGCTCCTTTCATACACCCGGTCGCAGCGCAGCATCCGCTCAAACAGCTACCCACAGGACAACCAGGGTTAATTCTTCAGAACGGCTGCGGCTTTGGCAGGAAAACCAGCAGACACTCACCTTAAAGACCAGCTCCCTCAGTCGGTCTGAGTGCTTGTTGTTGAGCAGAAGCGTGTAGCAGGAATCTGCAGCTGCAGGCTCAAAGAGGAGCAGGAAGAGCTGGTCTTTGGCCGGGCTGCTCTGAAGGAGGCTGAGTAACATCTCCAGAAGACCACACAGCTGCAATTAACAGAGTCACAGCTAAAGTAAAACATTTCTATCAATTATATTTTACATACCTTAAATCTACATCTAGTTTAATACCTGAATTTACCCGGATGCAGATTGTGAACATTCCTTGAAGAAAGATATCTTTGGTTTGATGTATCCAGCTGTTTTATTATAGTTTTTTTTTCATTTATATTTTCTGTTACTCCACTGTCTCTGATATTGTTCTATTTTGTTAAAAAGCTAAAAAAAATTGACTAGTTTTTCAGGGGTCAGGAAGGGTCAACTCATAGCTTGATGCTCTATGAGCGAGCGTCTCAATACAGTCGGCTATTGAACAGAAAAACAGCGTCTTTGTTGGGACCAATAATGGTAATTTTCTCCTTATAAGAACCTTAAGAGCAGAGATGATGATGCAAGCATTTAAATCTCATACTGGTGGATGATGACCAGCCTTTTAACAGCTTTAAAGTATTTTTTTTATTCACTTTCTGAGAATAATAATGAAAAATCAGTTATTTTAGTCATTTATTAATCTATTTTTTTTAAACTAATTAATGTAAAAGAGATCATTATATTAAATAAGGTTTAGAATTTAGGAAAAAGGAACTTTATTTCCCATTAGAAATTAATTTTAAATGAAATAAATGATGAAAGTATACATAGATGCACATAAAATGATGTGTTATATAGCTAATGTCTTAATTACTGCTGTTAGTAGGTTATTACATTATTAAATTACATTTTTAAGAGTGTGTTTACTAGAATTGAATGATTAATTGATTAATTTTTGGAAAATATCAAGCTTTTTTTTCCCCAACCAATGCACCTCTTGGGCTTCCATAGCTCAGACTGACATCATTTCATCACTTTTTGCTTTCAGATGTGTTTTTAGAGCTGTTAAACTAACTCATTGTGTCCCACCACCAGGGTTGTCAAAAGTATCGACACTCAAAAAAGTATCGATACTGAAACGTTGTATCCGGATACAATACTCGTTTTTAAAAGTATCGATACAGTGTTACCTCCTGTGGCACCTAAACGGTCGTTCATCTAAAGTGCAGAATAGAGGAAAACGCACCTTCTGAACACTGTGTGATTGAATAATTCTGTGCACTTTTCAGTTTCACACTTTTTTTTGTAACAGGTGCAGCTGCTGAGAATTATTTTTGTTTCTTAACCGGTTTGGCTAGTATCACTGTTATGTGTGCAAAGCATAGCCAAGGAAGGAACACTTAATTTTAGTTTTGTAAGTTTTTTATCAATCTTGCTTAATACTGTGCACAGCAAACAACCTCAAAATATTCTTCTTATTGTTTATTGTATTTATTTATTGTATTTTAATTATTAATCAAAATATTTCTCTTGAAATTTGGAGTTTTTATCCTTGTGGTATCAAAAATGGTATCGAGTATCGAATATTTTCCTTAGTATCGGTATCGAGTTGAAAAGTTTAGTACCGTGACAACCCCACACACCACTCGCTGCGAATATTTAGTGTGTTATATGTGTTATATTTTCATTGTTTTTGTTGTGAAACACGGTATTATAAGCATTCAAAGTTTCAAAGGGTAGATATAGGCCCCGACAACACGAAGCCAAACCCTGGCCTAAACGCACAAATTTTTAACCAAACCAGCCTCTCATCCATACGAAGCCGGCGTTTCGGGGGTCTGTAAACAATCTTTTTTTTATTCAGCCTTCAGAGTGGGAAGATTCTGAAACGCCGTTTTCGCGTTTCCATCTTTAAGCTCTAACCGCATTTTTCTTTTTTTACACGCATGCGTCATAGCGTCGCCTCTAAACACGCATGCGCGACACAGCATCACAACAACAATGGCGCCGTTGCTGCTAATGCTACTCACCCTGCTGTCGGGCTTACAACAGAATCTTCTTCTTCTGGAATATCTCCAGGAAGAACAGAGCAATATCGACGACATAGTTCAGCACCTGAATTTGACTGAACCACGAAAATGGACCCGCAGGGCAACCATGTATAAATATTAGTGCGCATGCCCAACATTTCGTCGCTTATTTTTGCTTTGGCACCACAGCGCCACTTACAGGCCTGGCATACATTTTGCAGCGTTTTCATGCATTCGTGTGGACGCTCACATTTATTTTACGTCTTCGTCTTTACGACAAACGTTTTGGAAAATATCAGCGTTTCGTGTTCGTTTTGACTTCGTGTGGACGGGGCCTTAGTTGCCCTTTAGGGAGAAAAAAATTTATTATTCTGGATCGCCGGTTCACCAGAAATCGCCCATTAATTTGATGATAAAATTAGAAGACAATTATTTTAACTATCAATTAATCACAATTAGCAGTCAAAGCCCAAAAAAAAAAAACACAAAGATTTAAACGTGAGAACAGATGGTGAGCTCCAACTCACTTTATCATCCCAGTGTAGCATTATGTTGGCGTAATTTAAGCAATATTGGAGACGCCACACATATTTTTTGGGATTGTCCAGTAATACGAGGATTTTGGAACAATATTAGAAATGAAATAGAGGGAATATTAAAGCATATATGTCTCCAGAACCTGTGTTTTCGTTTTGGTTGGGAGCCATAACTAAAAAAAACAGATCAGAGATAAATAGCAGAGAAAATAATGACTGGGCAGTGGAGAAATGTAAAACCAAAGCAAATGACTGCAAGCCTGCAGCTAAGTATGGAGACTGTTGTACAAAGATTGATTTGTATTTTAGAATATCTGGGAATCTGATGGAGAGGAAGATGGGATGAGATGCCACTGGAAGGAGAGGTCTAATGGAATTCCTCTATAGGAAGGGATCCTGCTCGGCCAACGATTACAGATTGTGGATATTGTCTGCTCTGCCTGTCATCATAATTCTGAAGACTTCTGGTATTTTGTTTTTGTTGTGACGTCTACTACTTAAGTTTCTGTCAGGAAATTTTATGTAAAATTATTAAAATGGTTAAATAAAAAGTTCTAAAAAAAAGATTATGAGCTGTAAACTCACCTGGTCTTCATCTCCAATGGCAGCGATGTATCCCAGAATGCTGTGCATCTCTTCCTGTGACATGCCCTTGCTGATGTAATACTTGACGAGGCCACAGAGGGATGCTCGGATGGTCCGGATGTCGTCCTCGCTCAGGTCGTTCTCCTTGTTAGCGTTCTTCCTGGAGGTCGGAGCAGGTGATAGTCAGCGGGTTACTATGGAAACAAACTAAAAAAACTGAGAGGTGTACCCGTAATAGAGGCGCATGGTATCCAGCAGGAATTGAACTCCGTATTTTTTCCTGAACTGCTTCCTGTCATCCTTGATGACGGTGGACATGTATTGGATATGACCTTGGGGGAAAAAACACATTAAAAATAAACCTAAATTCAGAATAAAGCTCAATCATGCAGGTCCTCACCGATCCGCAGAGGGAAATCTCCTTTGTTCCAGGTGTTGAAATTGAAGAGCAGATGTGCTTGGATCTGCTGCAGCAAGGCCTGGTTCTTCTCATGGGTTACCTGCTCAATCAGCAGCTGCACGGCGACCAACACGCTGACATCCACATGACCTGCAGGAAGCTGAAACCAGACAACACCGGAACGGGACCCATTAGCCGAAATCCACACGACACTTCCCAGCCGGCACACATGCAAACTGACGGGTCAGCGTGCAGCAGATTGCAAAGACGATAAGAAAATAAGTCATTTACAACACAAAGAGGAGCTCATAACACACAGGGAAGCTCTCGGTTGAGGCGATGTAAAACCGAGAGCTTTGACTCCACAAACAGATAAGGAGAAAAACAAACAACACATCAGTTTTATTTGGATCCCTACCAGCTACAGGGTGTGGTCACTTTGCTGAGAATTACCTTCACCACATCTAAGAGGTTTTAATTTAATCTGCGTCTCTGTGGAGGCTTTAATTTTCCCTCGGTGACAACACTTAAAGTCTTACTTCTATCCCTGCACTGAACAAACAAATACAGATGCAACTACAGCAAACAGACGACTGGAAAGATCAGGGCGAGTGAGACTTAAAATAAGGGACCAAAGAACGGATACAGAAGGCACAAAATAAGTGGATTACTGTGATTATGATGAAGACATTTTCTAAATTGTTTCAACCCAAACTTTAGAGCGTATGAGGGAACAAAACACACTTCCCTCCTAATCAGAATTTACTCCTAGACTGTGAAGCACTTAGAAAAGTTAACTAATCTGATCTGAAGTAGGAGAAAAGAGTCATAAAAGAAAAAAATCAAAGCAAAAGGAAGATTTTTGCCATATTTTCAATTGAAACCAGAACAAAAAAGTTCATGTCCTTACTTAGGAAGCTTAGGAACTCTTTAACAATGTTATGTTTTTATTTTGTTTTCCCTCTGCTGTTTTAGATCATATTTGCTTTTTAATTGAAGCTAAATAAACAGAATTTAGATTTAAATCAGAAACTGTATGAAACGATTCTAATTCAGGGACCTTTTGCAGAAGGACTCCCAGTGTTCCCACGCCATGCGAGTGGAGCAGATTCTCCTGGTTGATCGGGTGTCTCTGTAGGAAATGCTTTAGCATCAACAGGAAAGTGGCCACCAAGTTTTTCTCCAGGCGCGCCTCTGGAAAAGAGAGGAAGATTCAGATTTCTCAACATGTTGCAGCAGCTGGCTTTGTTACACAAACGCTGCGGCATGACGGACCTGAGGCTCTGTTGGATGGGAGGATGACCCAGTCTCCATCAGCTGGTGTGCTCACATCTGGTGTGATGAAGTCTGATGCAGCTGCAGGATCGCCCCCCTGCTGGTCAGGGGTCACACAGGCCAACTGCTCCAGCACTGGGAACAGCACCGGCAGGCCACCGACACAGTTGATCATATCCTGTTCCAGAAAAACAAGAGACAGATTTGAAAGCTTCGGAAACATTTGAAAAAAAATTCCTCTGTTAGAATAAAACGATCTGCTGCCCTGACCTTTATGTCCCAGTTGACGACTTTGTTCCCCGTCAGACGCCCGTGCAGCAGATTGGGAGAAAGGTCGAGGCAGATGGGATTTCTACAGGCCTGCCAGCAGAAAGCGAGCGTTTATTTGCAGACTTTACCTTCACTGAAACTAATGTAACCCCAAGATTTTACAACAAGGTTTAAGGGGATAAGAAAGGGAAAATGTGTTCCAATCACCTTAGGTGAATAATGCAACAGCAGCTTGGCTGAAATGTCACTCAGTTCTGATTCTTGGGCCTTAAATGGAGAGACGCAGTTAGGACCTAGAGGGATAAAACAAAACAGAGAAAAAACAAAAATCCCCTTAGGATCTTTACAGTAGTTGTTATCCTGGTTTTTATTTCATTTTTAGTCACTACTTTGTCAAAAATGCTTTAGCATCAAAGTCTGCAGGATTCTTAAACATTTTCATAAAAACAAAAATTCAAGATTATACAAAATGAGAGAAAGTGAGCAAGAAAGTAGGGATGGAAGAAGATAGTGGTGCAAAGGATCATTACTGGTCTGTGATCCTTAAAGAAATAGTACACCCAAAACATGATTAGCCTTCATTTTCTACTCACCCCCATGCTGAACAACACTCTGGAGTACTTTTTTAATATCTCAAATGCATCTGGAGATCTGGGAGGCTTCTTGCTGTCTGCTGACATTCAAATAATGGAGGTCTATGGCGCCCGAGACAGAGAGGTCCATAAAAGTCCACAAAAAACGTGTCAATATTCCTCCATACTGCTCGTCCAATGTATTCCAAGTGTCCTGAGTGGGTAGCATCCAGAATTTACTCGAAACGAAGTCATTTAGAATGTTTTTAGAGCATAAACAGTAGTGCATAGGATTTCCTGAAAGCGCGCACCGGTGCGTTCATGACGCTACGGAAACCGCGGCAGACCAAACCAGATGAAAGTGCGCATTCAGCTCGGCAAAGAACTCATGCTCTTCCTCAACACTGAAGTCCTCAGACATTTTTCTTTCGTTGTTTCTTTCTTTGCACAGGTAAACAGCACATTTCTTCTTCTACGCTTGCATTATTGGCAGAGCAGACGCTGAATGCGCACTTTCATCTGGTTTGGTCTGCCGGCTTCCGTAGCGTCGTGAACTCGCAGGCGCGCGCTTTCAGGAAATCCTATACGCTACTGCTCTAAAAACATTTCAAATGACTTCGTTTCGAGTAAATTCTGGATGCTACCCACTCAGGACACTTGGAATACATTGGACGAGCAGTATGGAGGAATATTGACACGTTTTTTGTGGACTTTTATGGACCTTTCTGCCTCGGGCACCATAGACCTCCATTATTTGAATGACAGCAAGAAGCCTCCCAGATCTCCAGATGCATTTGAGATATCAAAAAAGTACTCCAGAGTGTTGTTCAGCATGGGGGTGAGTAGAAAATGAAGGCTAATCATGTTTTGGGTGTACTATTCCTTTAAGGATTTATCTCCACGGTTTGGGACTCAAGTGGTCTGCGGACTAACCGACGAGATTAAATAAATAAAAAGGCGTGTTCATGTAGAGAAAGCCTGTATAATCCAATCAATTAAAACGGAGCGGTGATCATGGTCATAATTGGAAGAGAGGAGCTTGAAAAACCACCTGCAAGGGGAACGCCGTTTTTTTTTTTTTTTTTTACATTGGGCCCTTGATTTTACTTTATTACATCATGTTCTACTCACCCATATTAGTTTTTTGTCATTTGGAGCTAATATGCAGTTTTGTTATATCCAAGTAACGTCTTCCTTTGGCTAAACGACTTGAAGGCACAAACTAAACTGTTCATAACTTATTCTTTATGGTACGCCAGCATTCATAATATGTAGGCGAATCACTGTCCCCCAGACATCCATGGTTATATTTTTTTATATTCATATGTTTTAAAACAAAGCGGCGCGTGTATGACGTCATCTGTGCGCCGGACTGGAGTTGTGACAGGCAGCCCGGGCCACAGGCGGCTACGCTCTACTAATTCATTCGGCTAGCTAATCTGAATCGTTCAATTCCATTTGGAGAGTGAGATCATCTGTGGTAGTAGCACTAGACATCTTCCAGGCATGTGAGTAAAACTAGCAGCAGTTCAGTGGACAAGAGGAATGAATGGTAGCCGGCGTGCAAGGATGACGTCACAAACACACATTTTAAAAAATCTAAATCTAAAAAATATAACCGCGGATGTCTGGGGGACAGTGATTCCCCTACATATTATGAATGCTGGCGTACCATGAAGAATAAATTATGAACAGTTTAGTTTGTGCCTTCAACTTGTTGCCCATAGGAAGACGTTACTTGGATATAACCTAACTGAATATCTTCGGAACAGCTCCAAATTACACAAAACTAATATGGGTGAGTAGAACGTGATATAATAACGTAAAATCAAGGGCCCAATGTAAAAAAAAAAAAAAAAAACTGGTGTTCCCCTTTAAGTCGCATGTATGGGAGCATTTTGTCTTCCCTGTCAAATACAATGATGTTAGAGGAATGGTGGTGGACAAAACAATGAAAATGTGTAGCCATTGTGGCACAAGAAAGCCATATGAGAGTGGAATTACATCTAGCATGGTAACCCATTTGAAGCAACGTCATCCGAGGTTTAGCCGCAGTATCAGACCGGGCTAAAGCTATAGCAAACGCTACTGGAGTTTTTATAGCTGCAGACATGAGATCATAATCCGTTGTGCAAAACAAAAGCTTTAAACATATAACAATATGTGCTACAGTCACGGTATGTAAATCCCTCGCACATTCACTTTAGCGAAAAATGTGTTCCTCATCTGTAAGAGCAGGAAAAAAAAACGTGTTGCTGAACTTTTAGTTTCTGTTGCGCTCTCCACATGCAGGTGGACGTCCAGAGCAACGGAAAGCTACGTATACAATGACCTGTTTAAAGCGATTTAAAGAAGGTTTCATGCATTTTATTGCACTTTAATTAAATTTAATTTAATAAGAATTTTATTAGTTCTTATAAGATCTTTTTTAAGATTTTTTTTGTTAGTCAGCAAAGATGTTAAAATAAGTGTTAAACAAATCTAATGGAGAGCAAAGTTATAGTTGTCATTTTTTTTTTTCTGGTGATCCGATCCGTAACTCAAAACCATGATAAAATCCAAACTGTGATTTTTGTGATCCAATGCACCACTAGAAGAAGGGAAAAGGAAAAGAAGGACATGAGAAAGAAAAACAAAGAAGGATTTGGGCGAAAGTTCATCATGAATGAGAGTAGGAAGGATGACAAAGAAGAAAAGAACGACATAGAAACAAAGAAGCAACACAGGAATGGAAAAAAAAGGAATATACACTCACCGGCCACTTTATTAGGTACACCTGTCCAACTGCTCGTTAACACTTAATTTCTAAGCAGCCAATCACATGGCGGCAACTCAGTGCATTTAGGCATGTAGACATGGTCAAGACAATCTCCTGCAGTTCAAACCGAGCATCAGTATGGGGAAGAAAGGTGATTTGAGTGACTTTGAACGTGGCATGATTGTTGGCCAGAAGGGCTGGTCTGAGTATTTCAGAAACTGCTGATCTACTGGGATTTTCACGCACAACCATCTCTAGGGTTTACAGAGAATGGTCCGAAAAAGAAAAAACATCCAGTGAGCGGCAGTTCTGTGGGCGGAAATGCCTTGTTGATGCCAGAGGTCAGAGGAGAATGGCCAGACTGGTTCGAGCTGATAGAAGGGCAACAGTGACTCAAATAACCACCCGTTACAACCAAGGTGGGCAGAAGAGCATCTCTGAACGCACAGTACGTCTAACTTTGAGGCAGATGGGCTACAGCAGCAGAAGACCACACCGGGTGCCACTCCTTTCAGCTAAGACCAGGAAACTGAGGCTACAATTTGCACAAGCTCATCAAAATTGGACAATAAAAGATTGGAAAAACATTGCCTGGTCTGATGAGTCTCGATTTCTGCTGCGACATTCGGATGGTAGGGTCAGAATTTGGCGTCTACAACATGAAAGCATGGATCCATCCTGCCTTGTATCAACGGTTCAGGCTGCTGGTGGTGGTGTCATGGTGTGGGGAATATTTTCTTGGCACTCTTTGGGCCCCTTGGTACCAATTGAGCATTGTTGCAACGCCACAGCCTACCTGAGTATTGTTGCTGACCATGTCCATCCCTTTATGACCACAATGTACCCAACTTCTGATGGCTACTTTCAACAGGATAATGCGCCATGTCATAAAGCTGGAATCATCTCAGACTGGTTTCTTGAACATGACAATGAGTTCACTGTACTCAAATGGCCTCCACAGTCACCAGATCTCAATCCAATAGAGCCTCTTTTGGATGTGGTGGAACGGGAGATTCGCATCATGGATGTGCAGCCGACAAATCTGCGGCAACTGTGTGATGCCATCATGTCAATATGGACCAAACTCCCTGAGGAATGCTTCCAGCACCTTGTTGAATCTATGCCACCAAGAATTGAGGCAGTTCTGAAGGCAAAAGGGGCTCCAACCCGTTACTAGCATGGGGTACCTAATAAAGTGGCCGGTGAGTGTATATAAGGCAACAAAAACGGAAAAATGAAAGTCAGGAGTCAAGAAAGATTGATGGAAAAGTGCAGCATGAGAGAAGAAATAAGAAAAGACTTAAAAGTAAGGGAGGACACAGGAAGAAAGAGATGTAGAACACAAGGAATATCTTTAAACCCAGTCTCCAGTCATCCTTATCTGCTTACCAGCGCTACAGATGGCTTTTATGTGACTGGGTTGAAGCGGCTCATGAAACACCATGACGCTTCCTAGCTGGCCCTGCAGGGACGTCGGACTTCCCCACTCGCTGTCCTGAGTCCCAGCTGAGATCAGCTTGGTGACGGACTCGGGCTTCCCCCCCAGCAGCCCCCCCCAGGTCTGCGGCGACAGGATACCGCCCAGTGAGGTTCGAGCTGTGGGTGTGGAGGCGGAGGAGAAGGGCGGGTCGGGGATTTGCGAGGGAGGGGGAGTGGTGGTGCGTTGGCCTGCAGAGCCTATGCAGCAGGAAATAAACGGCTGCAGATGGAAAAAAATATATATATATATCAAGAAAGCATAAAAAGAACATCACCAGGTAAAAATCGCTAGTAGATATCATCTTACCTCCGTCATGATGGGGTACTTGAGGGGGGCGGACAGTTTCTGCTGCCCATCCACGTAAATGTAGACGAGGCTCTGTCCGAACGGCCTCTTTCCAGGAACATGCACCACGCCGATGCTGTGCTGGGAAACGGAAATCAAAGCGCCTTTATTGGATCATATCGGACTGCTCTACCTGAAACATTAACTCTCCACTATGGTGAACAAACACATTTTGATCAGACGTACCCAGAGGGAGTCACAGAAACAGTAGTCTGGCAGCATTACTGTGACATACTCCTTCTTTGTGCAGACAGCCACCACCAGCGCTCCAGCAGCGCTGATAAAGGCCTCAAACCCCGTTCCTCCAGGGGTGAAAAAGCTACGCAGACAGAATAAAAGGAAAAATTGAAGATTTAAAAAGCTAAAGGGTGATTTTTCTTTTTCTTTAGATAAAGTGGAGCCAAATTACTTCATCGTCAGCATTGAATTCAGCACTGACCTATAGAGCTGCTTCCTTTTGTCCTTGCTGAGTGGACCAAGCTGGTCCTGATCCAGAGACAACCAGGCGTGGAAGCTGAAGGCAGAACCCGGCCATCGCTGCACGGTGGGGACAACAATCCCCGCCATGCTGGGCGACAGATCAAAGTACTGCATGGCGTTCTCAAGTCCCTGCTTGCGAACCATGGTCAGGAGGGCCCTCAGGGCTGGACCTACATACGGATGAGCTTGGCTGGACTCCGTAGTCCTCAGGAGGCGCAGGAGTCCCAGCAGTTCCCGGCCGCTCAGAGACTGCGAGCCCAGCGAGCCTAGTAATCCGAACAGGCTTTCGGCACACGCTCTGTGCAGGCGTTCGTGGTGTTCCAGAGCAGCTAAAGCTCGCACCACCATGGCCGCGTTGACGCAGGTGGCACGGGTCTGGCGGTTGAGGCAGCTGAGGCGGCGCAGCCAGTCGGCCGTGAAGAGCTGCAGCTCGGGTGACTCCAGCTCTGGGAGCCACTGGACTAGAAGCAGCAACGGCTCCACGTTGCTGATTCCAAGGAGGCCCACAGAGGTGTGCTCCCCCTCCACTGACTGCAGGAGCAAACAGAGAGAAATAAGATGGAGACTTCGGAGAAACGACGCAGAAAAGGAAGGAGCAAACTCACCATGTTCATCAGCTCCTTGAGCAGATGTCTGGACGGCTGACCCAGTGAGATCAGAACTTCGTACAGGTGATTGTAGCCAATCCTCTCTTTGAAAACCTCCTACAGCAGAAACGGAGCAACCAATGATCAATCAGACCAAACAACCAATGATACACAACTACAGTACCTTCCACATTTATTACCACCTTCGAAGATGTTTAAAAACTGAACCTAAAACATCTTTATGTAAAATCTCGCACAGAAATTTTTTAAATAAATAAACTAAAAAAAAATTTTGTTTTCCACTTTAATGTTTCACAAGCTTGGGAAACATACAGAGGGGTTTAGAGCATAGATTGCTACCAAGTTTAGATCCAGGGACTGAGATGCTTTTCAGAGGTTGATTTTGTTTCTGTTGAACCATTTCTGTGATGCATTACGTGTTTTAAGACCCTGTCACACCGTGACAATTTAGCCAGCGTATGCATGACGTACGAAAAATCAGGCAAAAACGGTAGCATACGTTGGATAAGTTATGGGTCAGTTTTGCATAAGTTATGCGCACACTGAAGCACATGTCGACATACGGCAAGTACGTCCCAAAGTATGCCAGCGTATGCTCAAATGTATGCTATAAGTTACAGGTAAGTTATCTGATTGTTGACATACGTTAAGTTTAAGTTACTCGTAAGTCGTGGCATATAGTTTATCCAAAACCTATGAGTAACTTAAGCTTAGCTTATCAAGAACTTATCTCCAATGCATATCGACGTGTTTGAGTGGTTCCAGACGAGCTCTGAACGTGTTTCTAACTTACAGCTACTGTTTAATGGCGTATTGGTAGCGTTAGGTTAATACCGCAATATTTTTAAGCAGGCTGGGCGCGTCCAGGCGCATTGCTGCACCCGTCAGGACACTGGCTTGTGATATTTCATGGACATTGCGCTGCCGTGCGTTATGCATAAGTTAGGCTTGTTATAATTATATATGTATACGCCCAAAATTGAAAAAATACATAGAAAGTTCAGCGTATGCCAGCGTTTTTAGAAGATTCTTGGATGTCGAGGAATACGGTGGCTAAATAAGGTATAATCAAGGTGTGACAAGGGCTTTAGATCATCATGGTATGTTAAAGCCTTGCAAGCTGCTAATTTAGTGTAATCCTGTTTGTAGATGATAAATATTATATATATATATTAATGTTTTTTTGTTTTTTTGCAAGGGAAGTGAATTTTTTCAATTCCTTTATATCTGTCATATTGCACGTATTTATGCTGTGGCAGCATCATGCTGCGGGGTAGTAATAAACACAGAGAGTGCAGAAAATATTCTAAGCTAGAGAGCAACCTTAGCAGCTGGTGATTTATGCATAACAGTCGTCAGGGCTTTGATGGTGGCTACGGCCAACGAGTCAAGGCGTCCTTGAATCACCTGGAAACAAAGCAAACATATTAGTCATTCCCCAATGCCAGGTGGAGATCCATTTCTTTTTATTGCAATGACATTTTATGAATGGATAATAAGCATGCAGAGGATCAAAAGCACCAAATTAAAATGATCCACTTATTAAAGAATCTAATATAAAATTAAGGAGATGCCTTTGAGTTTGATTCAGTCAGTGGATGTGAGTAAAATCATTTGTAAAGTTTTTTAACCGCCATTTGTCACTGCAAAAGGAATCGGCTTCAAAACTCCTCCTAATAATATGATAAATTATGTCTTTCTGCTCCGGGCAAAGAAAAAAACACACACAGAGAGATGTGACTGGAGCAGGAAGCTAACCACGAGGAAAAAGTACATCCCCACACTGAAACACCTTCACACTCAGCATGCAGCCCAAGCCAAACCAGGATGCCAACGCGTCCCTCATCCAGCTCCGCCCGCCTTAAAATCTACCATCAGCTGCTGGCTCTACAGAGAAGTCAAACACAGAGTTCACATCACTGCGCAGACCTGATCACCTCCAACCACTAAAACCCCCGGGGAGTGAGGGAGTAAGTGCACACAAGCCCATAGACAGAACTCTTGGAGAACCCACAGTGTACAGAACACAATATGGAAGTGGGGGGGGCAAAGAGGGCAGATATGTGTGAGGAGACAGATAAATGGTAGATGTGATGAGGGCAAGATAAGTCATTCCACAGCAAGATACCAAGAGATGAGATTCTTATTTCTCTTTTTACGGCTTCAGCTTTTCATTTAAGTCCCTCAGATGAGCCAAACAGGCTCATCTATGAGCAAAGGACTAAGGACGAACAAGTTGGAGCATCAGCCTCTGTGTTCTGTTTCTGCAGGAAATCAGCTTTAAGGTGGCAAACATTGCAGAAACAGGATCATCCATCGCTTTTAAAACAGAAGAAGCATAAAAGTCAGCATTATCTTTGTAAAGCATGACAGGTAAATGATCTTGCTGTGGAGTGGCGTTTGCTGGAGTTGAGGTGAAAGGAGGTGGGATTTGGCAGCAGCAGATGAGGACAACGGCAGGTAGGTGGAGGGGGAGGGGGGGGGGGGGTGGATTTCTCGGCGGTACCTGAATCTCCCTCTCTCCTGTTTGTAACCTGTTGTTGGTTATATCTTTCTGGTCCTTGTCTGCCGCCGTGCACCTAGCGTTAACCAGCTGACACACAACAGGCGACACGTCAACTTAAATGTGTGGGACGGGGGGGGGAGTAAAAGAAGACGGAAAGAGTCACAGGGTGGGGCAGGGGGAGAAAAAAGGTGACTGGAGGAGAAGGTGAGAGGTTAGAAGCAGTGGACTTCGGCAGGGTGTCAGTGATCCAGCCTTGTGGTGAGAAAATAAACATGCATGGTGCTGCAAAATGCTTCCTGCAAAACTAAATCGTAGAATTGTAAAAAAAAAAAAAAAGCCAGATCAGACCCAGAAAAATAAAAAAGCAGATTCTATTTTCATCTGAACAGATCTACAATAACATTAAAAGAAAATGCCTTTAAGGGATAATAGCAAAAACAGCTTTAAATCAACATAAATCAAGATTATTGAGGATTACCATTAAATCTAAAATACAACAAGATGTTGAGGTGATTCCTGCTCTTAGCCTTTCTTTTCCTTTTTATTGAGAATAAATACATCAGAATATATTTAGAATAATTGAGCGAACTGGACTGCAGCTCCTAGTCTTACCTTGCTGTTCTGCAGCAGTCGTATCAGATGCTCAAAGCAGTTACTGTTGAGGAAGATGGCTTGTAGAACCGGCCTGTCTGAACACAGGAACATGTCCCTGATAGTGTCTGAGATTCAGAAAAGAAAGAGAGAGATAAGTAGACAGAAGCAGGGAAAATGCTCATTATTTAATCATTAACTTATGAATAAAGCCGCTACCTAGCATGTGCACTTGCAGTGCCACAAATCGGATCTCCCAGTGCCGGCCCAGCGTGGGAACCCTCCCCTTGGCTGGCTGCTGCTTCGCTGCCACCACGGCCGCCGGGTCTGAGTTGAGCAGCTTGAAGTAGTTTTCCAGGACGGATGGGATTTCCACCTGCCGCTGGTCTGAGCTGGAGGCCAGGAGGCCCTGCACCACCTCCCTGAGACACCCCAAAGTTAGCAGCGCCATCCGGCTGATGGCCTCGCTCTCCCAGTCCTCTGCCTCCTCTGACGAGCAGCTTCCCATGTAGCTGTCAGCCAGCACCCGCATCAGCACCTCCATGGTGGCTGGAGAGATGGCAAGCAGAGCGTTCCTCTGGATAGAAAGAAATTTACAGCCACGTGAATTAATACATATATGTTACACTTGGCTATATAATACTGTGGCAACTTGAGTGACTGAACCAAATTTAAATATATTAAATATTTAATCAATCTAAACTTGGACTAAAATGCAATAATATGACCTAGTTCATGTTGTTCTATAATGTAAAATCCACTTTCTAGAAATGATATATCTAGTTAAACACTGAGCTAATGTTTGCCTCTAACAGACCACAGCAGTTTAAAAGGATTATGTTTACAGCCTGTCAGCCTAAGCTCCCTCTGACCTCTGGGGCCAACAAGAGGCTCACCTGATCCCCTGCTACTATGGCTCCAAACAGGTGCAGAAGGCAGCATTTCAGGCTCTCCTTCAGATGCTCGCTCTCCTGGAAGCACTCTACCACAAAAACAAACAAAAAAAACAAACGCATCAACACATAGGCGCTTTCATTTGACCTTTAAACATGATCCAAGTTATGCAAATACAGCAAACTGTTCAAGTTCCCGTGTTTTTCTCCAAACAAACGTGTTTATGTGACACACATTTATGCATGAACGATTAATGGAATTTGTAACCCAGAAAGGAGGGGACCTCCATTATCATACCGAGGGCACAAATACGCACGCAGTCCTGCCATTAACCCCAGGGTCACAGTGGCTCTAGTCATCTATTAACTCACCTGTCAACACATCCAACTAGGGAATGAAATCTGACATTGTGGCTCCGGGACGTCTACTTCCTTTAACTTCTCAGTTACATGCAACCTTAACTAGTTACCAAGCAGAAGTCATTACAGGGTGCTCCGACAAAACAAACATAAAACAGAAAGCATTCCAGTTGGTCGGGCCGTGAGCGTTATCTTTAGCGCATAACCACAGCAGCCCCGCATACGACACAGGACAGAAGAGAGTCTTTGTTTAACATGGCCGCCAGCATCACTGAAGTGTCTTGACAGGCACTATTCACTATCTGCTCATCTCGAACAGGCCAGAAGCACAGAGAGCGGATTCGACGGGATCCATGGAGGAACGCGGAGTAGTGTGCGATTTTCGCATAGCTTAACTTGAGTCAAATAAGGGAAAGCCACAGAAAACGAAAGCATTAACATAAAGACTTACGGTAAAAGAAGGGAACAAATTCAACAGTGAGCGGAGCGGCCTTATACTTCTGCCTGCCCCTCTCTACGGCACCCAGCTGCTCCCTGAGGAGATAAAAAAAAAAAGTGAGGAAAAAACAAAAAAAATATTCATCCTTATGCTGATGATCTATTTGCCCAAAAAAATGCATTTAATTTCTGATGTAACTATTTAGAGCCCAATTAAATAATCATGATATCACATAAATATCACATAAATCAATTGCCCACTTACATCATCTTTCTCTTTTTCCTTAATGTTTTCAGAAAAAAACCTCAATATATCCAAAAAGCTGATCTAAAAGTATAATTTTATTAATTAGACCCAGATAAAAATATCTAAACATCTCCCTATCTACAGACTAAACCTAAGTGATTACTCTTGGCAGCAGCAGATGAGATTTTTGATAACTGACAGGAGGACCTTACATAGAGGAGAAATTATGGCCTGCTGTTCTGATTAGGTCTTTAATCGAGGCAAATTTGAAAGTTTCTCAGGTTTGGCACTCAGTTTATAGTCATGCCATGGAACCAAAATTAGAAACAAGTTTAGACTTTAACTAGGCCATTCTAAAACTTTAATTTCTGTGGGAAGTTTTTACCATTCAAAGGTTGTATGAATTGAATCATTGTATTTGTTGCATACTTAAGAGCAGATGGGTGTACATTTTTAATTAATTATGAGAAAAACAAACCAGACTGAAGCTTTATATTCTATCAGCAGCTGTTCTCATCATATAAATTTATGAAAAATGAACATACAAGCTCAGGGTTGATTAGTTTAAATGTTTTCTATAATCAGGCAGCTGTTAGAATACAATCTACATTTCATTAAAGCAGGGGAAATATTGCTGTAGTCTGTCACTAATTGGAATTATTTTTTAGTTATAGCTCAGAAAGGCTGAGTTGTTACCTGCTTGTTCGATGTCTCCAGTTGCGGTATGGGTCATAGAGGCTCTCGCAGAACGCCAGCGAGTGACGAACAAAGTCCTCCGCCTGACTGTGGTCCATCATCTCCTTCTCCTTGGTCCTGCTCTTCAGCTGTGAAGCAACAGGATCCTATTACACCTGCGTTTAGGTGTCACAATACCGCCATTATACAAGAGAGGGTCAAACCTGCTGGATGTAGAGTGTCGTCATGGTGATGATGTGATTGATGTAAGAGCATGTGCCAATCTCCTCAACATTGGACAAGTTCCTTTGAGAAAGAACAATGCGTCCGTTTGCCTTCTTTTAGCCAAACAAAACAATCCGTCACAGGATCAAATGTGTTTTACTGGGACAGAACAAAATAGTGCACCGTTGTGAAGTGGAAGAAAAGTGATAAAAGGTATTTTTCAAATAAAACTGAAAAGTGTGAAATAATTCAAAATATTTATATTATGGAAAGGCTGACTTTTTCCATCAGATTTGAAGCTGGAAAATGTAAAAATTATTGGGAAAATTGGTGAGGTTTTATTTCACCATGGAGATCAGACTTTGTTGGTTAATAGTGTGGGTTTGGGTACCCTAATAGAGTTACAGACTGTAAATAGTTTGCTTACAGTTCAATACATGTGCAGATTCTGTTGGATGTTGTGTTTAGAAAGGAAAACAAAAAACAAAACAAAAAAACTATAAAATCGGTATGTATACTTGTATGGGAAAAAATATTTTCAATAAAAAGTGCAAATATAAAAAAAAAAAAAAACTGAAAGGTGTGGCATGTGACCATACCTTTAGCACAACAAACCTTTAGCAGTTATTAGCATTTAGCTACATTAATTTCCATAATAAGAAATGTATCCCCACAGCATGATGCTGCCACCACTATGCCTCACTGTGTGGATGTGGTGTGTGTATATTGTTTTTTTTACATCCTCAATAGAATAAAAATTTATTGTTGAAACAGAAACTGAGAGAAATAAAAAAAAAAAAAGAGTTAAAATGGGATGACTACTACTGCAAACCTGCAGATAATAATGAGGAACTTCAGCAGCAGCAGAGCCAGGTTTTGCTGCTCGGGCTCTAGGCCGTCTGAAGCTTTCTGGACGCACTGCAGCAGCTGGTGGCGTAAAACCTGCAGGATGTTGTCGGGTAGCAGCGTCAGAACGGGTGGAACCTCCTCCGGTCTGGAAAAAGACATTAGGAAGCTGACAATGGAGAAAGACAGTCTGCTGCTGGGAGTTTAAATTAGCGGGGAAAGGAGTGACTCCACTGCCTCACATGCCTCAGCTAAACGACCGTCACCTGATACTCATGTGATCCCAACTGGTAGCACAGCCAGCCAAGATGTCAAGAATCAGATCATACCTGCAACTAAACCTAACAGCCCTGTCTCTGCCATGGCTAGTGTATATTTAAGCTTTAATTACAAATGTCTAATTCAGTCCTGGGGCTTAAAAAAACAACTTATTGATTCTTTGTTCACTTAAACAGATTAAATGGGTAGGTTTGCCGGCACTTACCTTGAGAGGGGCTTTTCGAAATCCACATCCAGACATTGTTCATAGGAGCTGATAAAAATCTCCAGCCATATCTTAAAGTAATCTGGATCTCTCTGTAAAATTAGGAAATTGAGGGACAAAAAGGAGGAACAGGATAAGAGAGTTAGCCATCTTTCCAAAAGAGAGAATTTTAGGAAGTAAAAATAAAATTAACAAACTTATTGGTACCTCCAACGAATAATATTTATTTAATGTTACTGAAGCATTTTTGTATTTCAAACTTTCAAACACGTTTGTAGGATGATCAGACTGATGATGAACCTTTAATCAATAATCATATTCCGTAAGGTTTCAATCAGACACAGAGGAACGTTTCAATTAGTATTCAAAACAGAAAAAGGAGAAATGGTACATTTTGATGTTCCTACTTAAAATGCGTAAATAAAAGAAACTGGGCTAAAAAGGCTGGTCAAGTCTCCATAACAACCACTGGACGCTACCTACGTGTCAGGACAAAAGCTTCTCTGTCCTACCATCACAAATGTGAACTATTGCAGACATTTTACAGGGTTCCTACAGCATAAGGCAGGTTAAATTCAAGACTTTTTAGGACTTTTTAATGCCACTAGAAATAAAAATTTAAGACCAAATTCACAAGAAAAACCCGTTTGCGACAACTTAACCCAAAGGTTTATTTTAACATAAACCACTGCACTAATGTTTCAAATTTTGAAAAGCTTCCCATACAGGAAGAAAGCTAAAAACACACAAATGACAGATATATTTTAACAATTATTTAACTGAATTCACAAACTTTGTTTTAGCAGGGAACAAAACAAATCAGTTTTAAAGCCACAACATAACCAGTGCTAAGTCTTTTTTGCTGCTATTTTTCTTTGTATTGTTTTCTTAGTATGTTTGATTTGGTGATAAGTGGAAGCGTTGCAGAGACAAGGGTGGAACTAAACTGAGAAATACCGGCTGTTTCTCGGTAACTCCATTTTGACGCTTTGTGTTTCACGTTTCGCATGTGACTCCCATTCCCATCGTTCTGAGCTTGAATGACTTCTTGCACAAAATCCACTGTGCCTCATATATGTTCCCTGGTTTTAGCAATGGAGAAAACTCTTGGCTGAATAGACAATTTTGGTTACATTTACACTCATATTTTCCAGACAAAAAGTTAATGGCTCATCTCCCAAATGTCGCAGCCACAACAACGCTTTTATTGGTTTCGCTATCGAGACGGAACCAATAATGGCGAGCCGTTACTTTTTTTTTTTCATAAAAAAAAATGTCAATTTTAATGTTTTTTTTAGATTACAAAAGTAAATCATAATAAAAATAATCCTATTTATGATGTTTTAAAAATTAAGACCTACAAAAGACTGATTTAAGACATTTTAATACCAATTAAGGCCTTAGTTTTATTTTGAAGAATTCAATGCCTTTTAAGACTTTTTAAGGACCCACGGGAACCATGTTTTAAATTAAATAGTTCCCTTAAGTGCTTTTCTGCATGGATGATAAATACCTAATCTACGAAAAAGGATTTTTAATTCTCTGAGTTTCATGAATGGATGACACCGTGGGCTCTTTAAAAATCCTGGGAAAATGTGTAAAAATATCTATTGAATCCTGAACATTTGCTCTAAATCAACATAGAAGTAGTTCACCTACAGATTAAGAACATAGAAGTCTTTTTTGGAGATATTAATGTGCATATTTCAGAAAGAGAAGGCAGGTGGTTACAAGAAAGGAATCAAAGAATGAAAAAAAAAAGGGTAAACAGAGGAGGTGGCCTCAGGCGCCATCTTTTTAGAGTCCCCGGAGGCACATTCATAGCCGTTCACACCTTCAGACATGTGACCAAACAACTTGCATGTTGTCATCGATATTAAGCGTTTCACACACAACAATGACTCAAACAAAGGGGTGGATGGGGTGGGGTATTGTTGCGATCCTTGGTAGAAATCAACCAAGCTTTCACCCCCGGTCTTTATGTGAATGAAAGCGGTGGTTAAACTACAGCTTTGAAATTCCCCTCAGGATCCGTTCTACTGGTTTGACAACAGACAGATGATCGTTACGCCCCGAGGCAGCAGAGACAGGCCCCTGTTACTAGAACCACAGACACAGCTGTGTGACCAAGGGAAAAGGAATGTCAGAGGAAAGCAATCTTATTACATCTCATCTTCTTTGAATGTGATAAGTGTAGCATCCACCTGCTAAAGGGGGAAAAACAGGCCTGGCTGCATTTTAATGCTGGGTTTTTAGCAACTGGGATATCAGGATTTGCTAAATTCCTTAAACAATGTCAAAGGGAAGACCGGCTTCATGTGGCTTCATAAAGCTTAAAGCATAACGAATGATAAACAATTGAGAACTCATATATTAAGTCTCATACTCTAGTGGTATCAGTTGAGGGTGAAAATACACATTTTGGGTTAAATTACAATAATTCACCCCTTAGATTTCATTTAAACTTAGAGTTTTAATGATACGCTACCAGAAATAGTTCACAAAGAGAAGAAAGTCTGAATCAGGATTTCGGAAGCAAAGTTTAAAAACAATATGGCTCATATGCGGCTATCAAGATATACAGAAGTATTCAAAAGATGGATTAGAATGTAAAATACATTTTTTATATGTTTTTCTTCAGTTTAAAGTTGGTTTAGCTTCAGTAACTGGGCTTAACGTTTAAACTGCATTTAATAATTAGCAAAGTTTTAGTGCAACAAGCATTTCCTTGGCTTTAGTTTCAGTCTATCTTCCTAAAAAATTGGAGGTTTTTATAACGATTTCTTAGAAAATTCCAACAGTCCTAAAGGTGCATTAAAATGAAAACAAAGCAAGTTGAGCCTTCCTATTATCTGCTCAAAGTCCTGCTCTCTCTCCTGAATCAACCAGACCTGTCAAAAAGCCCAATAATAACTAATTTATTTTAAAAAATACTTTAATGTGACTATATTTTTCAACACTTCTGTGATTTTAAAGATAACCAAGTCTGAGTTTTAACCTTTTTTTTTGTAATAAAGGTCTGAACTAAGGAGTTATCAGTGCAGATTGACAAAGCTAATGTTATGTGCTCAATATTTAGAAAAAGAAATAAAGTTTCTGACCAGAAAGTCACATGTTAAGTCCAATCAACTAATAAAAAATAACTCAATAGATGGATTTTTCTCTGAAAAACAACCTGCCTGTGGATTTTATTTTCCCACAGAGCAGCAGTGCTGGCTGATGAAAGAGTGGGCAGGGGACAGAAAGGCTGACGGCTTGTCTGCCTCTTTGAGAGTGAATCAGCCAAAACCAAGCAAACAAACCACGTGAATCTGCACAAGTAAAGTCATCGGGACAATCCTGCAACGTTGGCTTCTGCCTCTGTGTGTGTGAGTTAGAGCCCAGAACATATAGAACTAAAGGAGGGAGAAATACAGTAGCCGAATGAATGGAAAGAGCTAAACCTTAAAAGCTTAAAAGAGCTGAATAAATCTAAAGGGTTTCTAATTGGCTGCAGCTGAAACCAGTTTTTATTTAAGCAATAAACATCCTATTGTCCTCCTATTATTGCTTCCAGATCGTTTATAGACGATAATTTAAGACAGCCGCTTAACTTTCAAGAGGCTCCATCTGCAGGAAACAGTGAGTGAATGACTTTGCGGTGTGTGTGTGTGTGTGTGTGTGTGTGTGGAAGAATGTCCTCTTTTAGGCAGCAGCTTGGGAGCAAAGATGCCCATTGAGGGTTTGGACTGTGGCGGACGGGGACACACCCTGGCTCTGTGTGCCTCTGCTTATCCTCATCTGTCATCAAGAGCTGGGCGAAACAACCTCTAGTTACAAGCAGCCATCCCCAAACTCAGCGACCTTGTATTACCTCTCCCAATGATCTGTTGTCCGCGTACAAATAACCCTTCAGACCTCCAATCTTATTATTATGAAAACGACACCAGGATCTTTCCCAAAGGAGCGCACAGCATTCCTAATGATCTGTTTACGCTGACCTCGGTAAAAGGAGGCTGCCAGAGCCGATCGATGCTCTTCATTCTTCAAAATTAGATTCCGCATTGATCAGGAGGTTTGTGCGATAGTTACAGTCAATGACTGGGAACCTCCATCTTCAATTGTCACTGAAGAGAGGTCGGACTTTAAAAAATAAGAATTAAAAGTCTTGCATAAAAGTAGTTCATTATCTGTGCTTTTTGATTAAAACATTACAGTTTAGCCGGATAAAAATATAACATTTCTACTGAAGGTTAATTAACTTCATCCAGGGCGAACTAAGAAGTAAAAAAATATGTTTTATTCCAATAAAACAAACGAGAAAGTAATAAAAGAGTGAAGCTACACCATTAAAAGTCAGAAAAGTTTAACAGTAGACAGGTGTGGCCCAGCAGCCTGGAAACATGCGGCTCGGCTCCGTCTGACCACCGTTTCTGTTTCTGCTCCCCTTTTGGGTCAAAATCACTTCCCATCTGTCTGCGACGGCTCCTCACCGTGATGTCACTCCCACACGTGTATTTATAGAGGCCGGGGGGAGGAGCTTAAACCACTCCAGGGATGACCTCACTGTTATTCCAGAGAGATTCATGACAAGGAGGTATAAAAAAAAAAAAGATGGCCTCTAGTAACGAGTTTCCAATATGGGGCAAGGAAATGAAAGGGTGAAAGTTTGTGTGTGATTGCAACAAGCCGCACTTTCAGTCAAGCAGCAGCTTCCTCCCAGCAGAGCAGAGGTTTATGCTAATTACTGCTGCTGCTTCTTGCCTCGACTCGAAGCAGGGTGGCTGCTCTGTGATCCTGGAAGGAAATGAGTGCGTTAAGACACTACAGGGTGAAATGATCCTCCAGGCTTGTTCCCCCATGTCTGGGAGTTATGAAGGATTTTCTGCAGCAAACAAAGGCTTTAAGAGCATAAATGGCATCATTAGAAATCCAGCTAAATCCTGAACTTTCTTCAGCAGCTGCTTAACTGCTATCCTAATGGTGGAGGGAAGGTTAATGTAGCACTGTTTTGGTTTCTGCTCTGTTAACCGACAACCCTGACACGAGCCAATGGAAGACAGCTAAGAGGATAGCGGGTTATGCAACAGTCTTAGTCGTCTGTGACCCGCCTGCAAGCTGGAGTCGCCTCCGACAGCTGAAATGGTTTCAAAATAGAGCCATGCGAAGACCCACTACGCCTCTGGCTGCATCAGAAGCATGTTTGGAGGGCATAAGCGTGAAATGGAAGGAAAAGGACATCCTTTTTGAAATGACAATCTGGACAAAAAAAGAGGAAAGCTTTTGTTTTCATCCTCATCTGCGACCTTTGGCTGCATTTCTGCATTTCCCTAAAGGGGAAATAAAAGCATAGGAAACCTTTAATTCCTGCAACAGATTCTCAACCTGTCAGAAGCAAGACTTTAAATAGGCCGCTGTGACACATCAACATGCTCTCAAATGAATGTTTCATCCTGTTAACGTTCCTATAAAGCTGTTTGTAATATATCAAATTTAAAGAGGTATGAATACTTTCACCTTAGCACCTGCAGGAATCTAAAAACTGTTGTCTTTAAAGGTTGCAGGAAGAGCGAACAAGTTCGAAGTATGAAAAGGTAAAAATCTGACGTTTTATTCTCAGTGTAAGCTTTATGAATCCGACATGATTCACTGACAGCAGCGAGTCCTTCATACTTCAGCTGCCCCGCCAACAACATCTGACCTCATCCCTAAAGAAGGCTGCCACCCTGACAGCTGCGGCCGCTAATGTGTTTCGCATATTCCACATTTCCTCCAGATCATGAGAGAAAACAGAAACCAAGCTTCTTCTTCCTCCTGTCAGTACCGGGAACTTCAGCGGCTGTCAGGGAAACAGCCTTCGGTCTACCAGACCAAACCGGGTGAACCAGTTCTCCTTAAACAGGTTGTAAAAGCTCTTATTGTTACCGTCCACATCCAGCCGACATCCGTCTAAACCAATGTTTATGTTGGGATGTCGAAAGTGGCAAACGGATGGCTTTCTTGAAAAACCAGAAAATATTTAAGCTCAAAAACATTTAATCGTCACACTTTACCTTCAAACTACGGAAGAGGATTAGGGCCACTGGAAAAAAAAAAAAAAAGTTAACTGATTTTTCAAATTTATTTCAGTTTAACATGGGGAAAAAAGTCAGAATTCTGACTTTTTTCTCAGAATTCTGACTGAATTCTGACAATAATTCTGAGAAAAGTCAGAATTCTGAGAAAAAAGTCAGAATTCTGAGAAAAAAGTCAGAACTCTGACTTTTTTCCCCATACTATACTGAAATTAAATAAAAAAAAATCTGTTTTTTTTTTTATTTTCAGTGGCCCTAATCCTCTTCTCTATCAAACTGATTAATTGATGGACTATAAACAACATTCAAAAGATGCAAAAAATAAGTGATTTTGACTAATCCTGACCTCATTTTTTCTTTTCTTCAATCTCTGACATGAAAAGTCAGACTTTGTATAGTTCAGACTTTTTTTTTTTTTTTACAGGCTACAAAAAAGAAATAAAGAAAGAAAGTGCAGAAGGTTATTTTAATGGAGATATTAGTGCTGAATTACAGGATTAGCCTGTTTACATGATTTTTATTAAAGACCTGATGTTAACTAATGTGTTCTAAATGGAAAATAGTGGAAGCTTGTTGTTTCTTAGTTAAATGAACACATTTCACCTGACATTTTTTTTCACGGATCTCAATCCTTTCAGCTGGAATGTAAAGTTTTATTCTGACTGAATTAAACCCTGACAAACTTGAGAAAGTCTAGAATAACCATTTCAGATATCTAACAATGTTTCTTTTTAGTATTATTTCGCATTATTAAGCAAATGAAGGAGATGACAGTGCATCTTAAGATGATAGAAGCAACCATACAGGACCTATTAGATCATAAAATCTAACTGATTTAGCTCTAACTTGCTCTTGAGAGCTTAAACGGGATTTAAAGTGACAGTACTGTCACCCAACAATGATTTATGTGTTTATTCATTTTCTAAATCCAGAGCAACACAATGTGGAAAGTTCTACTTTAGGACACATTTTTGGGGAAATTTGCTGCAAGTTTGAGCTGGATAGACAGAGTGAGAGGCTGGAAGGCTGCGGAGGGGGGTCTGGGCCTTTCACACAAACATTCCTTGTCTGATTTAGCCCACATGACTGCAAGGTTCTTACAGACAACATATCTGGGCAACCCCCACACACACATACATATAGTTCAGGGAACCCCCATACTACAGAACTAAAGTTTTAATATTTTTTTGTCCCGAACACAAACTTCAAAGCTTCTTATTAAATGGGACAAATTAACGGCAATAATATAAATAATAATAAATGGGAGTTAAGCTATGTTTGTCAGGAAAAATAACACTACCTGAATAAACCCTCCCAATGGTGAAGCAGGGTGGTGGCAGTATGATTCTGTGGAGTTCTAGACAGTTTAAAATGTGCCATCTTATTAACAGTTTAGCATAACACATATTGCGTTTGTCTATCCCACTAAATCCTCATTAACATGCTAAAGTCTGTGGCTTCAGCTTAACTAAACATGCCAAAGTTCAAGCAGCATGACTGCTTTACAAGGACCTGTAACATTTAGCTGCTCAAAGTGAAAGTCAGGCTCATACGCCTACATTTATTGAACCGCCTCCCTCTCTACAACTCTTAGGCGACACGCAGAGATAAATGCTGGCCCTGTGGACCCTGGCTCAAAGCCAAGGTGAAGTAAAACGATCCTGTCTTAGTCAATGCAAATACAGAGCCCAGCTTGAACAAATGCCTCCAAGACAGGGCTGCCATTTTCACTAATGATTGTAACTATCGCAACACAGCAGCCTATCGCCTGTCAGGAACCCGGCCGGCGCAGGTGGAGGATGCCCTCTCTTCATCATTTGATGCCATGTTCTGCGTTTGTGAGCAACAGCACTGCCTTCATGCGCAGAGGATTGTGCATCGTGCGTACGGGACTGTGTGTAATGGTGAGGGATTACCGGGGGAAGAAAGTGAGTGGCCGCAGCCAGGCTCACGTGAGGAGCAGCTTAGCCAGGCTGTTTAGATTGGACGGCAGAATGTGCGCGTGCTTTATCGCAGAGTGAATTAAATCTATCCAACAGCTGACACAAGGAATGCCCGCTCTGCTGCTCTGCTGTCCCTAGTAAGTAGCCCTATGAGCACTCATTAGGATCTTGCAGCCCCATTGCAATTTCCAGTCTTTCTCCTGGTATAAATGCAAATGTTCTCTTTGAATTTATAGCTGATATTATAACTATAGAGCCGTTCTAAACAACAGAAGACAGACACTTTAAATCCAGTGGTGTCAAAAGTACACCCAGTTTAAAAACAAGTATCAACTTGACCTCTTTACTCAAGTAAAAGTGAAAAAGTACGTGCTCCAAAAACTACTTAAAGTATAAAAGTATAAAGTAACCTTTTTAAAAGAACAGCTAGATGCCACTATATGAATTGAAAGCTCAATTTTTTGACTATTTCGAAAAATTCTTTGAGATAGGGCCAAGGATGAGGGATACGCTCTCGCCTGTGTCCGAACTTTCAGACGTTTTAACATCTTTTTCTGAATCCCACATTGTAGCACGTTTGCAGTTCGAAGAACACCTGCTTGCATCTGATGATTTCCTTTAGCTAACCAATGAGTGTTTGCGTTCTATGACTCATCCATTTACACTAGTTTTCACTACTGCATTGGATGTGAAATAAATATTTATAAACATTAAACTGAAGCCAAGAGTAACGAGTAATGTTTGTTTAAAAAATATAAGGAATAGAAAGTATAGATAGTACCTAAAAAGTGTACTTAAAGGAATAGTACACCCAAAACATGATTAGCCTTCATTTTCTACTCACCCCCATGCTGAACAACACTCTGGAGTACTTTTTTGATATCTCAAATGCATCTGGAGATCTGGGAGGCTTCTTGCTGTCTGCTGTCATTCAAATAATGGAGGTCTATGGCGCCCGAGGCAGAAAGGTCCATAAAAGTCCACAAAAAACGTGTCAATATTCCTCCATACTGCTCGTCCAATGTATTCCAAGTGTCCTGAGTGGGTAGCATCCAGAATTTACTCGAAAGGAAGTCATTTAGAATGTTTTAGAGCATAAACAGTAGTGTATAGGATTTCCTGAAAGCGCGCACATGCGCGTTCACGACGCTACGGAAGCCGGCAGACCAAACCAGATGAAAGTGCGCATTCAGCGTCTGCTCTGCCAATAATGCAAGCGTAGAAGAAGAAATGTGCTGTTTACCTGTGCAAAGAAAGAAACAACGAAAGAAAAATGTCTGAGGACTTCAGTGTTGAGGAAGAGCATGAGTTCTTTGCCGAGCTGAATGCGCTGGTTTGGTCTGCCGGCTTCCGTAGCGTCGTGAACGCGCATGTGCGCGCTTTCAGGAAATCCTATAAACTACTGTTTATGCTCTAAAAACATTCTAAATGACTTCGTTTCAAGTAAATTCTGGATGCTACCCACTCAGGACACTTGGAATACATTGGACGAGCAGTATGGAGGAATATTGACACGTTTTTTGTGGACTTTTATGGACCTTTCTGCCTCGGGCGCCATAGACCTCCATTATTTGAATGTCAGCAGACAGCAAGAAGCCTCCCAGATCTCCAGATGCATTTGAGATATCAAAAAAGTACTCCAGAGTGTTGTTCAGCATGGGGGTGAGTAGAAAATGAAGGCTAATCATGTTTTGGGTGTACTATTCCTTTAAGTACCGTAACGAAGTAGAAATACTTTGTTACTTGCCACCTCTGCCTAAAACCTATTTTCAGTCATTAACAATGGGAGAAAATCTTTCCCAAACAGGAAATCTGAGCCTCCAGTGCCAACTAACTTTTCCGCTTACAGACTGGAAAAGCAGTAAGGATCTAGACCTCCAAATCCTGTTTAAAAGCAAACACTTTGCTCTTCAACATTTAGCCGGCTATCCCACAGGATGATAAGGACAGGAGGGGGATTGCCTCACCTTGGTGCAGTAGAGCATCCACACCTCATAGAGTCTCTCATTGGATGCCATAGTGCCAAGGTGAGAGCCACCTCAGGCTGCTGTGCCTACAGAGGTCACTTCCAGGGCCGGGCCATGGCTCTCAGGCGTGACCCGGAGGCATGATGACTGTCTGGAAGCATCCACAGTTATTCCATAGCAGATCAGGGCTGGCTGTTCATTCCTGTGGAGGACGTCAAGTTCCACGGCCTGTACTCCCACTCCTTCTTCCTGCTACTGTTCTGCTTTAGAGGAAAACACGGATATTTACACAGTATCAGATCATGTGTGCACAAATCCAGTAAATATCATTTATGCTCACAGCAGTAGACTGAAATAACACTTCACTTTACCCCGGGATTAACATTTAACCATATTAATCATATAATAGACCTTCGGGTCCTCAGGGGAAAATGCTAATAAATAAACCCAAGCTAGCTGAAAAACTAGCTGTCATAAAATAAGCCTGTTTTAATTTTTAAGCCCCCTTTCCTCCTCCTCTTCTTCTTCTTCTTCGTGTGACAGAAACGCCTCGAGCCCCAAACCCGTCCGACTATAACCCGACTTTTGAAATAAAAGTGAAAGTCAAGAAAAAAACATATGGATATTAAATTCGTCCCCAATTTGAAGCCCACTTACCTGTGGGGCAAAAAAAAAACACCCAACTGTCACCTCCGCCACGGTCTCCAGGGCTGTTGTTGCTGCGGGAAGCTTCCGGTCAGGATGTTTGGATTCTTTTCAAAATAAAAGCCCCAGTCTCATGTCTTTCGATTTCTGTCTCTGCGAAATAAAAGTTGGATTTTTACAAAGGAACGAGAGGTTTTTTTTGTTGTTTTTTTTTTCGTTTAGAATTTATTGCTTCAAAATATTTATTTCTTGTCAAATTTCACCTTAAAAGGACAATTGTTGATGGACTAGCAAGACAGTTACACAATTTCTTATGAATTTCTAAAATAATTAACAAATAAATAATAAAATTATAGATACATTAAAAGAAATAAAATTGAATTAAATAAATGATTTTGATAACTGTTAGGTGGAAAGGACTGAAACTTTATAGATTACATTAATTATTCTAAGTATAATTATTTTATATTTTTTTTTAGATTTATTTAATAGTCGAAAAAATGTACCCTGGTCCAACAAAACGTAAATTTCTCTTACAACATTTTAACAAATCTATGATAACCAAGATTAGGACAAATTATTTGAAATTGCCAATTCCTCCTAAATATTAAGAATTAGAATTTAAAATAATGAATTACAAATATCCTTCAAATGAGTACTTAAGAGAGAGATTTAAATTCAATGTTGGGAATCGTGGTTTCTGTACAACTCAATCGGAAACTACCAATCATTTGTTTTATGAATGTAAAGAAGTAAGTTAGTTAATGATTATAACCTTTGATGATAACCAAATATTACACCATAAATGTCTTTATGCAAAATGTTCCCTCTCATTCTCTGCTCTCAAAAACAGACTTTCCTGCTTTAACCGATGTCTGAAAAAGATGCAGAACCTTAAAGCAAATAAAATGTCTGATTTAATGGAAGAATTTCAGTTAGTCCTCTCTTCTTAAGTTAATTGTTGAGTTTGTTTTTTCCTTGTTCTTGCCTCTAATTTCTATTGGAGTTAATAGTTGTGATTATTTTTTCTTGTAATGTTCATTATTGACGTATTGTTTGAGATTGTCATTGATATTCTTATTTTAATAAAGAAAACAAAAAAAATCTTTCAAACAAAAAGATAGACGTATGTTTATAAAAAAAAAAATCTATCGTTTTGAACTTTGATTTTATTTTGGTAAACCGGATGAGCTCGGTTTAAGCTTTAAAAGTCCCACCTAAATAAATCGCTCTACTTTTTTAATGTAATGGGCTTGAAGTTAAACTGTAATTTTGTTTTTATTTATGCATTTATTATGTGTATTTATAACATGATTAAAAAATAAACGCATTTTTTCCCAAAGTCTCCTTTTTGCGACACATGCTTTTACTTTACGTTGTCGATGTGGATCTACGTGGTTGCTAAGAAATGTGAACCAGTTTTTACGAATCTCTGTCGCCATCCTCAGGAGCTAATAGGTACTGCATAGTTCGGAGATTGTAAAGATGACATTTAAAGGGACAGTTGTTTTGTTTTTTTGCAGGTTGTATCGGTTAATGGTTTAAATCATGTTAAAACTTCTCTAAACTCACTTAAACAGAATGACATACAGTAACCTTCTTGTTTTTTATGTTATCAAGATAGGAATTAAGAGTAAAATGGATGCAGCTTCCTCTGCTCACCCAAAATGAAGTCTCAAATGTAACATACAGGAGAAAAATAAACTTCCCCCCTTTCCAGCAATAGCCTCCAGCTTGTTTTTGGGGGACCTTTTTTTTTTAAGGTTCCTAGTCCAGTCGGCATACAGAGACATGTTTATTCCTTTAATGATGACATCCTCCAGTCTGGAGGCTTCATGAAAACTATTTCCAAGTCTTAAACTCCAGCAAGCTGCACTGTGTGCCACTTATTACGCAAACAGACCCAATTGTAACTGTAAAACCAAAATTACCACAAGATCGCAATGACCACTAACCCAAGAGGTCACAAAAAAAAAAAAAAAAAAACAGAACTAGGGCTTCAACTAACGATTATTTTGCAAATTAACTAATCCGTTAATTATTGTTTCGATTAATCGATTAGTAATTAGATAGCGAAAGGTTCCCTTAAGAACTTTTTGATTACACCAACCGAAAATAAAGCTTTTCCTTTCAAGGAGTTCTGGATAGAGAATATTGACAGTCAAGAGATTTTTATCTTAAATGCAAAATTTTCTTACAATTTTGCTGCTCTAAGTGAGTCGCTCTGTCAGCTAAAGGCACATTTTAGAGTAGGGGTGTTAAACCGGTTCCAGAAAGGGCCATGTGGCTGCAGGTTTCCTTTCCAAACAAGCAGTAGCACACCAGACTGCAGTCATCTCATCAAGTAATCATGTTCAGATTGGACTCACTTGATGAGATGACTGGAGTCTGGTGTGCTACTGCTTGGTTAGAAAGAAAACCTGCAGCCACACGACCCTTTCTGGAACAAGTTTGACACCCCTGTTTTACAGTCTCTATACTCCAGTTAACGATTAATTGATTACTAAATTAGTTATTTCAATAATCCGATTGTTTCATGCCACTTGGCACATTAAAACATCAACCATCTATACCTGCTCCATTTCCTTTCACTTGGTCCCCAGAGGGATTTTCATACCTGGGAATAAGAATTACCCCCTCATTTGACAAAATGTATAAGGCCAATTTCACCCCCTTATTTGAACGTATTCGGCTGGACCTTGAAAGATGGAGAGTGCTGCCTCTCTCCTGGTTGGGCCGCGTGTCTCTTCTAAAAATGAATGTCTTACCCAGACTTTTATATCCCATACAAATGATTCCAGTTCTTTTTCTCCGTAAAACAATTAAGGCTCTAAACGGATGGCTAAGTTCTTTTATATGGGCGGGAAGGAAACCACGCTTAAAAATTTCTACACTGTGCCTCCCGGCCGAGTGTGGGGGCCTTGCTCTCCCAGACATACGAAAGTATCAGATCAGCGCTCACATGCGTGCTGCTGCTGATTGGACAGGGGAGCCTACTTCTCTGTGGCTCGATATAGAAAGCTCTATGTCCAGGTTCCCTTTAAAAAATTTACTTTTTTTTAGGAAAAAACTATGCCATAAAGACATACTGCAGTAACCCAATTACTATTAACACTGTGAGGGCATGGCAAATGGTCCAAAAACTTGAGGACAGGTTCCAAGTTATATCACCTCTTACACCTATTTGTGATAACCCGATGTTTCTGCCAGGCGTTATGGACTCTGGCTTCAAAACATGGTCAATAAAAGGAATTCGTACGCTTTCTGACTTGATGGAAGGTAACACATTATTATCTTTCTCGCAACTATTGGATAAATATGATATTGGGAGGCAGGATTTCTTTCGCTATTTACAAATTAGAGATTTCATTCAGAAAAAAACCACACTCGATGTGGACCAAACAATTTCAGTGTGTGAAAAACAGCTTTTTTCCTCCAGGGTAAAAACTTCAATTAAAACCTTTTACAACTTGCTGAAAGAGCACCCCTTACCAAATACATTTCTCCTAAAAGAAGTTTGGGAAAGGGAATTGCAGTGTACAATAAATCAGGAGGGATGGGATGAGGCCTGGAAGAATGCAAAGTCTCTAAGTATTTGCAATCGGGTTAAGGCCATACAATTTAAAATTTTACACCGTGTGCACATTTCTCCTTCTCAGCGAAGTAAATTCAAAACAAGCCTCTCACCATTGTGTTTGAAATGTAGAGTGGATATTGGTAGTCTCACACATTGTTACTGGTCCTGCAGAGAAATTCAAAATTTTTGGCATACAATAAAATGTGAATTAGATAAGATTTTCTCTATGGGCACACAATTCAACCCATTGTATTTGCTACTTGGTTTAACCGACACCGGTATTATTGGTAAACATCAGTGTCAACTCTACAGAATGCTTACTTTCTGTGCAAGAAAATGTGTGGTACTGAATTGGATTTCTGACAAGGCACCAAGTAAATCACAATGGCTAAATATAGTACTGGACTATATATCTTTGGACTATTTGACGAGCAAACTGCACGACAAAGAAAATAACTTTTATAAAGTTTGGGAACCTTTTATTTCTTATGTAGGATTTGAAACCTCGGCTCTTCTCCGGAGAGGATTTATAATTTGAGGATGTCCGAATTGTAAACATCTGAAATGTTCTGGTTCGAACCATTTGTTTTCCATTGCTGTCCTCGTTTTTTCTCCCATCTTTTCTCTTTGGTCGGTATGTATATGTGCGTATGTGTACGCATATGCTCGTATATAGGTATTTAATTTTAAGAGCTGGATTGTTCTTTTGTTCTTGTCTTGTATTGTATTTGTTTGTTAAAACGTTAAAAACCAATAAATATAATTATAAAAAAAAAATAATAATAATAATAATCCGATTGTTTCAGCCCTACTATTTTACATCTAAAACCCTATACAGCCTTATGTGCCTGGCTTCAGCACAATGATTCAATAAGAAGAAAGAGACTGGACATAAATAGGAGAGTTTCAAGACCAAATACTGACCAAAAAAAACACATCTCAGAGTTTTTTGGAATAATAAAAAAAAAATTATCACAATGAGTGATGGTGGGGTTCTACATTTTTCCCCTTTCAAGATCCTGATGGAAACATGAGTTTAGATCTCTACCAGAAAATCCTGAATGAAGGCAATCAGGTTGTGTCTTTTAACTCAAGCACGCTTGATTTATTTCAACTAACATCAGAATTTAAGGTAGCAATGTCAGGATGAAATTTAAAATCACACTTTTATTTTTAAGTATTAAAAAGGCTACAATTCATACATTACAATAGTGTTTAAAATGTGACCGTTTTCAAACTAAATCATGACAGATATACAGTAGTTACCACAGATTGCATAACTACCAAAAATCACGGTGCATCACTCAGCTGAATTATCCAATCCTGTGGAAAGAGTAGCAAATACAGAATGTAAAACTTAATTTTTCTTTCAGAATATGTATTCTGATCAATTATTGTGTTACTTCCTGCTTTGCTGCCTTCTGCAGATGGACATTTTGAGGGGAGTGCAGTATAAGTGGATGAAAGTAAGAATATTAATCTTTAATAAAAAATATCTTTCCATATATCGCATAAAACATAGATCAGTTCTAACAAACAGCTGCACACTTCGAGGTAACCTAAAAAAGAAACACTCAAAAGAGAAAGCTTGGGAATAAAAACATATTTATATAGATATTGTACCATTAATAATAGAAATAAGGCTTATACAGCTATCATGTTTGATATGCACTGTAACTCACAGTTCTCCTACACAGTACACTTAATCACAGTTATAAAGATTTCACCAGATTCTATATAAAACAAAAGGCATTGCTGGATAAGTGGTTGAAGAGCACAGTAGGAACACTGGATGTAAATCAGGATGGGGAAGACTAAAGATTCCTAAATGCTACACTAGAATCGCACTAGATACAGCACATTTATTGCACGTGTGTCTTTTTAGAGCACACTTAGCCCTCCCCCCCTTCAGCACGACGGCATTTTGTAAAGATACCCACAAGATCAGCATGTACATATTTCTTCAAACATACAGCAGAAAGGGTTTTAGAAGGCCGACTCTGATGGTGTGGAAAGAAAATCACTATTAAGTACCTTTTCCTGTTACTTTGTATCCACAAGAGTTCAATGGTGAACTTTTCCTTTAAAGAGTCGGATTCATTAGTGCCTTGACAGGTTTTTGGCTCACAAGAAATCATTATTACCAGAGATCTGTGTATTAGAGCAGCTTTTTTAATCCGGCACTTTCACAGTTGGCTCATCCCAAAATTTACCCATCAGGAAAAAAAAAAAAGATAAAAATAACTATAAAATAATGTAAAAAAAAAAAGGCTCAGACTGTTGGATTAATATTAATAATACAAATAAAGTTAAAGTAAAAGCACAGTAGAGCATGGCCTCGCTTATCTTTGATTGTCTTGCATTTGGACGGCTAGTCAGAAAAGTCCCACGCAGCGTCTGTGGCGTCGGCGGCGACTGAGGACGGGGCGTGATGTAGGGAGCCTGGTGAGGTGGAGACTGGATGGTCCTCAGGGCTTGAGAGGGGCACTGCTGGGTACATCAAGCTGAGGAAAGAGTCTCTGGTGTGCCTCTTCACCTGCAACAAAGCAGACAGAGTCATACGTTGGACATTCAGGACAGACAGACATGCACACTCACACTTAATGCACTCGATTCTGATGCATTTTATTAAACTTAAATAAAAAAAAAAGCTTACTTGCCTTGGAGTTAACCACTTTGTTTTCAAAAACTCTAGTCTTAGAGTATTAAAAGCATTAAAGTCTATATTATACATATATTCCATCCCTTTTGATTCTGAATTCTTTATTCCTTATAAGGAGAATCATACAATTCCTAAAAATAAATGATTGTCTTCAGGGAAGCTTTGCAGGATTGAACCCATACCTGCTTGAAGAAGGCATGGCTCAACAGTTCCGAAGCGGACGGTCTATGGAGGACAATGACAACACGTGTTAAAAGTCAACATGTTTGTGTTGGAGTAAGTTCTGCATGTTTGATGAGCGCTGCAGCGACCTGCGCTCCGGCTGCTGCTGCAGACACAGCTGAACCAGGCTGTGCAGGGTAGCAGAGTGGTTTTTGGGTGCGGGGCTCTGAGGTCGGTCGGTGGGAGGAGCCGTGGCGCTGTGAGTGAGGCTCCCGGTGGCGACGCTCTCCCCGATCCCGGAGTCCACCCCGGAGCGAGACACCTTCAAGCCGCCCATCTCTCCCAGCGGGAAAGGAGCCACATCCAGCAGGCAGCAGTGGGAGCCGCGTAGCTTCTGAAGCAGCATCTGAACGAGGCGATCCATTCAATAAGCGAGACAGATCCACACACTGACCCGGAGACGTGTGACGAAAGAGATTACCTGAGTGGGAGGCATATCCTGGAACGGCACCCTGCCACTGACCAACTCACAGGCTACGATACCCAAACTGTAGATGTCCGACTTCACGCCGTATCCATGCAGGTCCTACTGAGGACAAAACCACCAAGAGAGGAGAAACATCACTGCTGGACCTAAAACAGATTCTTACAAGGAGTAATACCGAACCTGTGGCCTAAGTCCTGCTGTTAAAATGGTCTAGTCAAAGCCCAGAGAAAAACTCAAAGGCTCTGTGGCGTGATAGAAGCGAGATGCTTGAGCGCTGACCTGTCGTAACAGTTCCGGGCTCAGCCACGGCAGCAGCGCCGGGCTGTGGTGAGGCATGTCGAACACCGCCCTCACCCTCTTTCCGTCACGCATCATGCTGTAAATACTGTGAAGGCCTGAAAGGTAGACTCGCCCTTCCTCCGAGAGCAGGATATGACTGGCCTTCACCCCCCTGATCCCAGAACATGAGGAAGAAGAACATTAAAACCTTTACATTCAGGTTTACCAGTGCTTTTTATAAAAAAAAAAAGCACTTCTTTTCCACCCACCGGTGAACGTAGCCCATCCGATGCAGATACTCCAGTGCTTTGAGGACACCGTACAGCAAATAGGCTATTAGGGATTCACTCATCCCATCCGGGAAATACGTTCTGAGTAAGGCGTCTGCAGAACCTGCAGGAAAACAAAGAAAAAAGGCAATTCTTTAAGATATCCTGAGCTGAAAGGTTTTTAGAAGGTAAAATGGTCACAAAGGGAAAGCGAGGGTGTGGCTGACCGTAGGCCATAAGAGGCGTCAGCACCCACAGCTGGCTGGAGGAGCTGAAGACCAGGCGAGAAGTCAGCAGATTTGGATGGCGGAAGAGTCGGGCTAGAAGAATCTCACTCTGGAATAAAATGGAGATGCATACTTGTTTATTTTTTACACACTTTATTAATATCAAATTAAAAAAAACAACATTTTAGCTCCTTTAAGCCAATCTGTAACTCATTAACAGGTCATGTCACCCTTAGAAACAGCTGCCAATTATTACTGCAGAGGATCTTTAGTCTTTTTTTCCCAGATTTGTTTCATTTGGGCCATAATGGAGACACAGACCCTCTTCTCTTTTTCTCTTTCTACGTTTTTTCTGTACATATTTAAGTTCAGACTACAATTAAAGCATCATCTTAAAGAATAATGTTGTGATAAGCAACTTCCTTTTCATATAGAACCACGTTTGTTTGGATTGTGTCTTGGCCTTAATTCATATTTGTTAATCTTAAAATAGGCAGGAACAAAAAAGGAGAACCAACATAAACTTTTTTTTAAATTTATTTCTTATGAGCCACATCATAATGTTAGCCAGAATGTATAGATATAAATGAATATCTTTCAAGCAGTTTTTTTATTAGTAGAAAAAAGCTCCTAGCTGAGAAGCGCTCACACCTACAAATTGCACATTAGCAGACTTAGCTTCTGATTTCATAGCCAAGAAGATCAGAATTAACACAAAAAAAAAAAATGCAACAGATGATAGGGGGGCTTAAATTCACTCAAGGCTGCAAACCTCAGTTTTAGTGGGGCCTTAATCTAACAAGAATTGTGCCTTCAAAGAACCCCTGCACCCTGTGCAACACTAACAGAGAGAACAATGCTAATAAATACGCTCTGAAATGGTAGAAGATCATTACGTTAGCCTTTGAAAAGTAAAAAAATAAGAGAATTGATCTTCATGGGAGCATTAGGTTTATAGAACTGAATAGCTACATGAAAAGCTATAGAATATTTAATTTCCTTGTAGATATCTGACTGAGCTGTTAGTTTGTGGGTTTGGTTTTAACATCTCGACTGAATAATGGCTCTTCTTAAGGTTTATCTTTGTATGTTTACAAAACTTCAGCCTAAAATATAAAGAGCCCCAGATTATAAATCATGATTTGTTGCCTAAATCAACTGCAGAGGAACAGGTTAGATAATAGTGGTTATATAGGTGGGCTTTTGTGTTATAACCATGTTTTGTATTAAAGACTAACACACATTAAAACAAGATCACAGGTTTCATAAAGGGTCTAAAGGCTAATTATTAGGTCACCATGAGCTGCAGCAGTTCCTCCTCGGTGCACTCGTCCAGGTTGGTCTGCTTGACGGCCACCAGCTGGCCGGTGGGGATGTGGCGCGCCATGCTCACCCGGCTCAGGTTATTAAATCCTTTACCTGCGATCAAACTGAAATCTCACCATCTTTCTGAAAAATTCACTTCACATTAGAACTTCCATTTTTTTTTTCTTTTTCTTCTTCCATTCGGGTTGTCTCACCAAGCTCGAACAGCAGCTGGTAATGTGCCGGCTCGGGTGACAGCCCTGTGATGTCATCGCCGCCGGCCGGGCCTTGCAGGGTGTATTCAGAACTGTCAAAGCTCTGCGAGGTGTCAAACACATTCATGGAAACAAAAAACTCTTTAAACTCTAAATACATCCATGTTTGCAGTCAGAGTTACATGTAAGAATCAATTGAATCCAGTAAAACAAAAACAATCCAACATTTTTTTATTCCTTTCTTTAAACTCTTCATCTGAGGAAATACTTAAAAGACTTTGAGGTCACATGGATTATGCTCCTGTGCAATGCTTCCAGCAGGTGGCGCTGTAACCCAAGAAGGAGCAGAGTGAAGCATGTTTTTTTTCTGGTGATGCGGGCAGAGGTGCACACATTCCCTCTGCATCACATCGCCTCAGCAGTACATGACTAATTATTATTAATCAGTTAATAATAAATCTCTATCATGAACTACTGCATTAGGAATGGAGGATGATGTTGAGGCTAAGGGGAGGGTGTGCTTCCAGTAATGTCAAATATCACAGTCCCTTAAAAAGCATTCATAGCCCTGATATTTGTGGCTGGAACTGGAAAATGTGAGAACATTTTTTTTTTTTTTTGCAAGGCTTAGTTAATAATTCTGTCCTCATATTCTCCAGCTTTGAGCTTTTAAACAGCTCCAGCATTCATGTAAGGACCCGAGCCGATGGCAGATTATTAAAAGTGAACGGGTGGATGAGCGTTGGAGCTGGCCCGAGCCGACAGCATATCCACTACTGACCAGAAACTGGTGGCTGGTGTCTTCATAGCGGTCCTCTATGTCCATGGGCTGGACCTGAGCGTGGGATATACAGGAACAGTCCTGGGGAAGGGGGTGGAGGAGCATAGGTGAGACATGCCCAAACAGGAAGAGGGGAAATGGAGCTCAGGATGGTTGCAGGTTGGCAGTGAGAAGCAAGCATCAGGAAACATGGCGCAGGAAGGCATACATGGGTAAAAACAAGGTGATAAAAGCCAACAGAAAGGGAAAGGATGACCTGCTGTGACTTAAAGCAGGTAGAAAGGTGAGTGTGTGATAAGATAAAGCGTTTAACCTCCTTTAAGGACGTAGGGAACCTCAAATAAATAACACATGACATTTGATCATATTTACAGAGCCCCTAAAGGGACATGGAGGGAAAAAATTAACTAATGCGAGATCTCGCAAAACTATTGCAGAATCTCGCAAAAGTATTGGGGGATCTCGCAAAAGTATTGCAGGATCTCGCAAAAGTATTGGGGGATCTCGCAAAAGTATTGGGGGATCTCGCAAAAGTATTGCGGGATCTCGCAAAAGTATTGGGGGATCTCGCAAAAGTATTGGGGGATCTCGCAAAAGTATTGGGGGATCTCGCAAAAGTATTGCGGGATCTCGCAAAAGTATTGGGGGATCTCGCAAAAGTATTGGGGGATCTCGCAAAAGTATTGCAGGATCTCGCAAAAGTATTAGGGGATCTCTCAAAAGTATTGGGGGATCTCACAAAAGTATTGCAGGATCTCGCAAAAGTTTCTTTTTTGCGAGATCCCGCAATACTTTTGTGAGATCTCGCAAAACTATTGCAGGATCTCGCAAAAGTATTGTGGGATCTCGCAAAAGTATTGTGGGATCTCGCAAAAGTATTGGGGGATCTCGCAAAATTATTGCGGGATCCCCCAATTATTGCGGGATCTAGCAAAATTATTGCGGGATCTCGCAAAAGTATTGCAAGATCTCGCAAAAAATAAACTTTTGCGAGATCTCGCAAAACTATTGCAGGATCTTGCAAAAGTATTGGGGGATCTCGCAAAAGTATTGCGGGATCTCGCAAAAGTATTGCAAGATCTCGCAAAAAATAAACTTTTGCGAGATCCCACAAAAGTTGTTTTTTTCCCCTCCATGTCCCTTTAGGGGCTCCGTACATATTAGATTGTTAAATAAAAGGAAATACACATTTAAAAAGTGTGTCTTCATAGCGGTCTTCATAGCGGTCCTCTATGTCCATGGGCTGGACCTGAGCGTGGGATATACAGGAACAGTCCTGGGGAAGGGGGTGGAGGAGCATAGGTGAGACATGCCCAAACAGGAAGAGGGGAAATGGAGCTCAGGATGGTTGCAGGTTGGCAGTGAGAAGCAAGCATCAGGAAACATGGCGCAGGAAGGCATACATGGGTAAAAACAAGGTGATAAAAGCCAACAGAAAGGGAAAGGATGACCTGCTGTGACTTAAAGCAGGTAGAAAGGTGAGTGTGTGATAAGATAAAGCGTTTAACCTCCTTTAAGGACGTAGGGAACCTCAAATAAATAACACATGACATTTGATCATATTTACAGAGCCCCTAAAGGGACATGGAGGGAAAAAATTAACTAATGCGAGATCTCGCAAAACTATTGCAGAATCTCGCAAAAGTATTGGGGGATCTCGCAAAAGTATTGCAGGATCTCGCAAAAGTATTGGGGGATCTCGCAAAAGTATTGGGGGATCTCGCAAAAGTATTGCGGGATCTCGCAAAAGTATTGGGGGATCTCGCAAAAGTATTGGGGGATCTCACAAAAGTATTGCGGGATCTCGCAAAAGTATTAAGGGATCTCGCAAAAGTATTGCGGGATCTCGCAAAAGTATTGTAGGATCTAGCAAAAGTATTGGGGGATCTCGCAAAAGTATTGGGGGATCTCGCAAAAGTATTGCGGGATCTCGCAAAAGTATTGGGGATCTCGCAAAAGTATTGGGGGATCTCGCAAAAGTATTGGGGGATCTCGCAAAAGTATTGCAGGATCTCGCAAAAGTATTAGGGGATCTCTCAAAAGTATTGGGGGATCTCACAAAAGTATTGCAGGATCTCGCAAAAGTTTCTTTTTTGCGAGATCCCGCAATACTTTTGTGAGATCTCGCAAAACTATTGCAGGATCTCGCAAAAGTATTGTGGGATCTCGCAAAAGTATTGTGGGATCTCGCAAAAGTATTGGGGGATCTCGCAAAATTATTGCGGGATCCCCCAATTATTGCGGGATCTAGCAAAATTATTGCGGGATCTCGCAAAAGTATTGCAAGATCTCGCAAAAAATAAACTTTTGCGAGATCTCGCAAAACTATTGCAGGATCTTGCAAAAGTATTGGGGGATCTCGCAAAAGTATTGCGGGATCTCGCAAAAGTATTGCGGGATCTCGCAAAAGTATTGCGGGATCTCGCAAAAGTATTGCAAGATCTCGCAAAAAATAAACTTTTGCGAGATCCCACAAAAGTTGTTTTTTTCCCCTCCATGTCCCTTTAGGGGCTCCGTACATATTAGATTGTTAAATAAAAGGAAATACACATTTAAAAAGCAATACCGGGTTTAAGAAGGAAAGCAGCAGCCTCGTATATGACAAAGTAAAAACCAGGAAGTGTAACCATCACTCGAAAAGCAGGAGTTCAGGCAGTTTAAGACGATGTCAGCAAGTTCACCCCGAAGTCACACTGTGCCTCATCTAAAGATCATTACAGGGTTTATACACGGATGACTCTAATTTAATTCTTTTTTAATGCTCTTAGAATGAATTTTTATGACACGGAATCTGTTATACCTTATCTAATATATCTGATGAAATTGTTTTATAAACTTTTTTTTGTATAAACCATTTAAAATGCCACTATAACCACATTTAATGAATTTTGATGCCAATTAAGGCCTTAATTTAAAAAATAATAATTTGATGACTTTTAAAGATTTTTAATGATCCGCGGAAAGCCTGTTCAATGAAACAGAATTACATGCATGGCTGCACGAGTTAGGCTGACAAAGATGAATCTAGAGAACACCAAAAACATCTGGAATTAGCAAGACGTTCCTTGTTGCTACATCAGAAGTCGGCCATAAATCCCTCGGTCTCCCAGTGGCTCACAGACGTCATGTTTTTCCTAAAACTTTAGAAAATTAAATCCATGTTGAGAGGATGTACAGACAAAATTTCCACGAATGGCAACCCTGTATTTCCTATTTCACTAACCTAAAGGTACGACCACATTGACTGTTTGCCTGTTCTGTGTGTATATGTGACCGTGCACACATGCATATTTGTAAAAAGAAAAAAAAGAAATGTGAACTTTATTTCTGTGACTGGAATTATTGTATTGGGTTCTTTCCCCTTGAAAATATTTGGGGGAAAAAAGCAAATAGAAAAAAACAACAATGTGGAATAACCTCTTGTCAACAACGGAGACCAAACTGAAGATGTTAGCCATGATGCATGCATGACATTAATTAGCTAAACTGAAAAGAATCTTCTTCATAATGCATAAACATCCTGTAGATAGTCAAATATGCTGTATGTTCAAAGTAAAAAATATCCAACATAAATTATGTCAGGATGTTTGTGAAGGTGTGGTGGGTGACGATAGATGATGGGTGCCCAAGTTATGTTTAAATTCCCTATAAAATAAGAAATCAGACGTAAATCTGCTCGCTTTGAGATCAAAAATATTTAAGATCTAGCTACTTTAGGCTCTAATTTAATCTCTTAAAAACAACAACATTTCATCGATCTGAGAAGAAAACCATGCTGCCTTAAAGTCTTACCAAGAAAGACATGGAGTCCTTTTGGCGAAGGTGGAGTGACAGACTCTTTCATTCATTCGTTCAAGCGCTGCAGGGGTCCGATGGTGACAGAGGGAGACAGCAGGATGAGGCGCAGCAGTGAAGTATGAGACACACTGAGAATGCTCCTGTAGATGAGGAGCATCCATCAGAGCCGCTGCGGCTTACCTGGCTACATCAGCTGATCTGGAGCTCCGAGGAATCTCAATCCATCAGTGGAGGTCCATGTTTAGTGGAGATACCAGACTGATTCCTGTTGAACACAGCGGTGTAGTTAAGAGCAGAGGAGACCCACTATTAACAGTTATTAAAGCTGCCAGGAAACGTCCTCCATGCTCTATGGGTCAATATAGAGATTTTGACTTCCAAATAATTACATTTCCCAAGATTTGTTGACACCAATAAAAATCTATGGTGACAGATTGGAACGAAAAAACGAGCCACTAGTGCCACAAAAACTCAAAAAAATTTTTTTAAATAAATAAAATTACTGTTTTGCAAAAATGGATTCGAAATATAATAAGTTAAGTTTAAAGAATGTTTTTCAACAATTAAATAGGCCTGCTCTACTGTGTATTTGAGAAATTTCTTAAAATATTTAACAAGAAGCTGTGTAGAACTTTGTAATTATTGACTATATATATACACACATATATATATATATATATATATGCGTATGCACATACATATGTATATACGCATATATACATATGTATATACACATACATACATATATACATACATACATACATACACACACACACTCACACACATATATACATATACATACACACATATATAGACATACATATATATATATATACATACACATATATATATATACACATATATTTATACACACATATATACACGTATATATACACATACATATATACACATACATAAATATATGTGTATATATATGTATATACGTATATATATACACACATATATACACGTATATATACACACACATATATACACGTATATATACACACACATATATACACGTATATATACACACACATATATACACGTATATATACACATACATAAATATATGTGTATATATACATATATATGTATATATGTATATACATTTTTATAATACAGTAAATTTATCGACTACTAAATTAATTGACGATTATTTTAATTATCGATTAATCAGATCAATAGTTTCAGCCCATATATATATATATATATATATATATATATATATATATATATATATATATATATATATATATATATATATATATATATATGTGTGTGTGTGTGTATGTGTGTGAGTTATTTATTTTTTATTTTAATTTCGTTTTAATTATATAGCAAACACTATCAAACCTATCCAAAACCCAGTTGATATAATCAGTTTTAGATCTAAAGCAGTAACCTGACTGGCAGCTGATGTTTTAATGGAAACAGACTGAGATTAATGCAGCTAACTTTCTATGCGTTTTCATCCTCTGTCCTGTTTTAGTGTGAAGCTGCTGCTCACCTGAACCTCCCGACAGTTCGGCCACATAAACACCTTAAAGACACAAAGAGACGTTGGACAGTCCGCGCGCTGTGTCCTTCACACGCTCCATCTAGCGCGGCTCCTTCCCCCCATTACAATAGCTGCACGTAAACAACTAAGATTCCCCTGAATGTTTGACAAAAACAAAACAGACAGCTGTCTTGGGGGGGGGGGGGGGGGGGGACTTTTAATTTGACACCGATAACCGGCGCTTGATAGAGGCGTGATAAGGTTTGACCGTCGCCATTAGATGATGATGGCAGCTGTGAAACGCCCAGAGCTGAAGTTGGTGTCCGATTCGACGCTTCCTGTTTGGCTCATGAAGGCCACTATGGTTCATTAATTAAACACTTCATATTTTTCATTCTGTCTTTGATTTGTACTTTTTAGGGCAGAGTCGAAATTTTGCAAATTGTAATTCCAAATAAAACTAATACTTGTGTTTAAAAGAATTTAAAATGAGCACAGATTTATTTTTATTGTGCTGCTTTTTAAGATGTTTTTTCTTTATAATCTAAATTTAAAGGTATATTGGGGGATTTTTGTGAATTTTATGAAAAGACCTTCCCCTTAATAAAAAAAAAAAAAAGTGGTTAGAACAGTGTGCTTGTTCTCTGAGAAGGTTGCAAGGTCCCAGTTCGCCTGCACTCTGGGTCCCTGAGCAAAACCTTTAACCCCACACTGCTCCCTGGACACCACACAATGGCAGCCCAGGAGATGGGCTAAATGCAGAGAGTGAAAAGTGATAAGTGTGAGATTAATAAAGTTAAATTATTATCATTATTATTATTATTCAATTATTATTAAACGTGTGCAAGAGGGTGCACAAGCCCATTTTTCCTTGTGCACGTTCTGTTTGCATCGTTCATACAAGTTTACTTTCCAAAAAAAGATTAGCAATATTTCCGCTATGTCAAGTGAAAACGGAGACGAGCATGCAGGACGGCCTTACATAAACATATCACCACAGAATGATTGACAATTAGGAGGACTACTTATCTTGATGATCCACCTGGAAAAAGAAAACGCTCCACTAAACCTTTAATATAACCATGTTTCCTCCTTCGTGTCGTCTATCTGAGAAACAATTTATCCATCAGATTTGGACCGGGTAAAAGGGTTCAACATACTTTAGCTGAGTAAAATATGAGTAGAGTATTATAAGTGTTATAAAAGGCTTTACAAACAGTAAAATAAACCAGTTATAATGGACTTATATGCAGCAATAGCAGCTTCATTTTGCCTAGGAAGGGCATCTACAGGGTTAAAGATGTATTTATGGTCATACTGGAGCATTTTATTAGTTAGGTCAGACATTGATGCTGGATGAGATGATGTGGCCAAAGCATTGGTACCGATGTGATTGTGCATGAGAGGAAATAGAGGAAATGGAAAAAGAAAATCCCCCACTATACCTTTAAAATCACAGAACATCACAACATCACTCCTTTTTAATTTTAAAGTTCAAATAAAGGTTTAATGGCAAATTGACCAAAGCATTGACATTCATTGAACAGCAGATAAAAAGACAAGATAATAAAAGCACCCAGGTTGCTTGTATCTTTAAAATTGTGCATTTAGTTTGTTAAGTAGACAAAAATAAAAATAATATTTTTCTCTTGTGTGATGTGAACAATACGGAAGAGGATTAGGGCCACTGAAAAAAAATTTAATGATTTTTTAAATTTTATTTCAGTATAATATGAGAAAAAAAATCTCATAATTCTGACTTCTTTCTAAGAAGTCTGACTTTAATCTCGGAATTCAGACTTTTTTTCTCATAATTCTGAATTTTTTTCTCATAATTCAGACTTTATTCTAATATTTCAGACTTTTTTTCTCATAATTCAGACTTTGATTTCAGAATTCTGAGATTATCCAATAATTATCCAGATAAAGTCAGAATTGTGAGAAAAAAAGTCAGAATTTAGAGATTAAAGTCAGAATTCTCAGAATTGTGAGGGGAAATGTCAGAATTGAAAGATAAAGTCAAAATTCTGAAAACAAGGTCAGAATTCTGAGATTAAAGTCAGAATTGTGAGATTAAAGTCTGAATTCTGAGATTAAAGTCAAAATTCTAGCTTTTTTCGCATATTATACTGAAATAAAATGTAAAAATCAGTTAACTTTTTTTTTTTTTTCAATGGCCCCAATCCTCTTCATTAGAACAACATGTGTGGGGCCCCTTAGTGAAAATATTTTAGATTTAGAGAATTGCACTTAGAATAATGTGGCGGAATAACCCTTTAAATTCAGGAGGCGAGCATAAAGCTACAAATCTGAGGCCGACTTCAGCGTCATGCTTCTTCTCCATTGTTTGAGGCTTCGCTGAGAGGATTGCTACTATAACTGTTCACCGTCGGAATTCCACATGCAGTGGAAGTATATCGACACCGGGTAAGCTTTCTAACGACTCAAACTCCCGCTAAAGACGTTAACAAATCTCAGTTTGAGCTCGCGGAGGAGTTGCTCGCTGACGCAACGTTCCGACCATCTGCCGTCGAGGCGCACGAGACCGACCGTTACCGATTCTAACTGTTGCCCGTTTAGCTCATTAATACGGTAATAGAAACCCTGTATAACACTGTCTAACATTAAAATACTGTTATTTTAGAAAGAAATTCGATGAAGGCGTTTCTTTAAACGTGCCCAGCTTTTTGTTTACAGCTGAAAGGCCTACTGAAGGGCTTTTATTTTACAATGTGACTATCTGTAAACCAATTATTTTTTTTGTAACTAAATGAACAAACATTTCTGATTTGAAACAGTCTTAAAAAAGAGATAGAGGTTCAAAGCAGGGCAAAACACGGCCATCAGGGCCCCACAACTTCCCCTTTCACTCCTAATTTCACCAATGTTATTATTATTTTGCCTCTTAATATGTGTATATCATCTCAATTAACTATATTCATTGTATAAACAAAAGGAGGGTTGTTTATTTAATTATTTTCACATGAAAAAGGTGTTTACAAACTTCTATTATTAGTTTTTTTTTATTGATGATTTAGATAATTAAAAAAGGAAAAGAAAATCAGACAATGGGTTAAGTAAATAAAAATATGCAGCTTTTGGTGTATGTTTTAGGAAACTGTAAAATAAATATAATGGTTTCAAGTGATCTAGTTAAAGCCTGGGCTTGACAATGAATCAACATGCTTTGATATGACCTTAAACGCATCACTCAGGGTTCAGATTCCTCGATTCCTGCTGCCTCCCCTTTCTATGGATGCTCCGCTGACCTCAGATCAGATGTGTTTTTGTCTAAATGCGTACAGCCTTTGTGCACCTAAAGAACATCTCCAAGATTAAGGGACTAACGCAGCAGGATGTTGAAAAAGTAATTTATAAGTTCATTTTTAGTCAAATGTATTAATTCACTGGTGTATCCACAGGTTTGCCTAAATTAGATCCAGAATGCTGCTGCCTATATCCTCACTAAAACTAAGAAAGTTGAGCACAGCACCCCACTTCTAGTCGCGTAACAGCAAAATAAATAAGCTTTAAAATACTTCTGTTGGTTTAAAAAAAAATAAATAAATCACTGGATGACTTTGAACCAAAATACTTCAGAGAGTTGTTGACAGTTTATTTTTACCTCCTACCTTCGTCATACACTTTTGTAGGCAGTTCCTGTCCTCCCTTTCCTTCCTAGTGTCCTTCCTTCGTTTCTCACTCCCTCCTATTTACCTTTACCACATGTCTTTCCCTCTCTCTGATCTCATTTCCTGTCAGCATACTGTCAAATAAAAAACATATAAATCTTTATATAAGACCAGACCAGATTGATAAATCTAAAAAATAAGTCAATGTAAAGCTCCAATTTTTTAAAAGTTGCAAGAAGTATTTTTAAAACATAACTACAGATATATCTGGATCCATTCCAAGGCTTATATATAACGCAGCATTTTAGAGTCGAAGGTTGTGTGCCTTAATCTCCTTTACAGAGCCAGCTGTTTCAGCATCACTGTTGTGTAAGAGGATCTTGAAAGAGGACTGTCGACCGTCGTCAGCCTATTTCCCCATACTCAAACCCACACAGATAAACTGTATCCTCACATCTAGATGGTGCAGCACCGCCGGTGATGCCTATGAGGTGGGAATTATTTTTGTTTAAGAAAGCGAGAGCCTTATTTAAAGCGTACAATAGATAATAACAGCAAAAAATGCTTTTAAGATAAAACTGGATCGGTTAAATGTTAAACATATTAAAATGAACATAGCCTATTGAACCATGACCTAACACATTGTTTAAAAAAATAATAATATTAATAATAAACTTAAGATAAATACATAAATGAAAGCGCATGTATTATAAACTGAAAATGCATTACTGTGCTGCTCTATGATCTTACTGATCACTGCTTTCAAATAGTAAAATAAGAAAAAAAATAGCTCATGGCTCTTATCTGCATTTTTCCCTGATTCCATTGAACTGAACAATATGAATGAATAAAATAAAATACAAAAATCTATGGCACACAAAAAAACACCAAAAAATTTAGTGATGAATCACGGCAGCGGAACCAGAATTCAGCCAAAGGTTCTTCAATAAAGGCGTTTATTAAACAAAATAAGCAATACCAAAAAGGACCAAAGAATCAAAAAGACTGAAGCGAAAATAAAAGGAGCCTGGATGGAAGGAGGGGTGATAGAACCACACGCTGCTAAACGAGGGGTAGGTGGGATCCTCACGCCAGCAGCAGAATACCAGGAGGTAAACAGTCGGCACAGTCAGGGCAGAGGTCCGCGCCCCTAAGCAGCGCTCCGTCTCGATCAGAGTATGGTGCAGATCCCACCTGCCCCTCGCTTAGCAGTGTGTCCGCATCTATCACCTGCAGAATCAGCTCCACCCCTCCCTCCATCCAGGCTCCTTTTATTTTGGCTTCACGCAGCCACCTACGCGCAGCAGTTGCGGAAACTGCGCTCCGCCTCCTCAGACAACAGACTTAAGCCCAGCTTGAATTGTTAAACCAATCAAACATGCAAAGCACAACAAAAAATGTGAATAAAAGAAAGACACAATCATGTTTCAACCTGGGAATGTAGTGTTGGTGCGTGCAACACAACCGCACCAACACTACATTCCCCACAATGCAACGGTAGCCCGCAAAGTCACAGCATCACGCACAATAATTTCAATAATTGATTAATCTAATTTATTGTC